TCTTAGGAAATCCAAGTATCATGATTAAATAAAACAAGATGAAGCATCTTACAATACTTTCTCAGACACATAATTTGGTGAGAAATGTGGCGACACTAAAGTGATCTAATCCTCAGGATCCATGCCCATAAGACCATTCTTGACTATAAAAATGAAGATAAACAATCAAATATCATTTGTCATGACCAATTCTAGCTTCTTTTTTCGAATTCCCAAAATTGTGAAAGATGAAAGCGTAATCAAATTGCGGTTCCACATCAACACAATTTTTCTTTCTTTTTTTGACAACAATAGCAAGAATACGCTAGTAAGGTTGAAACGATTTTTTGAGGGAAGAATTGAAGGTAGTGAATGAAATGAGTTTTTTTTTTTTTGGGGGGGGGGGGTATTAAAGGTGGTGACCGAAATGGGTTTGGTGGCAATGGAATCCCAAAGGCCAAAAGTTGTTGCGGATGCTGGCAAGAATGGCATCAGTGGTGGTGGACTAAAAAAATCTTGTTGGACAACCTTTTGATATTCCAGTAACTGAAATCATGTTATTAGAGAGTCTTTACATAAGGACTTATTAGTTAGTGGTGGTAAATATGGGAGTCTAGGAGGCAGTTCCAAAGGAGGGAATTATTGATGGCAAACTCTTGTTTCACAAGGTTTGGAAAGAATATGAAAAATTGAAGTTTTAAAGTGTAACTGAATACTGAATTCAGATGAATATTTTTCAGAACTCTAGAATTTTGAACATTAAATTGTCTTTATAATTCATGAGGTTTAACCATTAAATTGTTTGTATTTGATGGAGGACAAAATTGACTTTATTGTGCTATCCAATGACAAAATAGGAAAATATATTTTTTTTCAATTAGCATACTTTTATTAGTAGATATAAATATAGTATAATCAATATGCAATTAATTCATTAATGATAAAATTTGGCTAATTTAATTGATGAATATACATAGAGCACAAATATTAATAGTTACAAGGGTTAAGGTATAACATTAAACCATGACCTAGACTTACAAGGATAAAATTGACCTTATAATATTAATTGAGGAAAAATTAGAAAAAAAAAAAATAAAGTCATTTTTTATTATTAGTATAGATATAAATATGTGTGTGTAACGTGTTGAATGGGTGAGGAGGACATAAATGAACAATTGTAAAGAAGACGTTTTGGTCACTGGAATACCAAAAAGTAAGAAATCATGACTAACAATTTACTCTTTTCATGTTCTTCCACTAATTAGTATAATAATCTGAATTCATTGAAATATGTAATTGATGGTGACTACTGAGTGAAAAAACATAGGAGATGAAAAGTCATTACACCTGCTCAATAAATAGATGAATTTTTATGGTGAACAACATTTATAATATATTTAATTATGGTAATTTAGAAAATTAATAAATATTAGTGGGTAAAAGAGGAAAACAAATGTTTTTCCAATATACGTATTTTTTAAAGCAATATAGATATATGTGTAATGTATATTTGTGAGGTGGACTACACTTTTAAATTTAAATTCAAAATTTTATTTTAACTTAATTTTTTAGAAGTTTTTTTTTTTAAATTAAATTATAATGAGTTTTAATTTTTGATCAATACTTAATTATTGAATTCTAAAATTTGGGCGCTTAAGCCCATGCTTTTTCCACTCCGAGAGAAAAAAATAAAAAAAACAAACGATAGAGAAAATCAATGGCAAGAAACAAGTCCGAAGTGGGTTCGTTCAAGGCATAGTCCGTTCAGTTTGAAAAGAAATCATCCAAGTGGCGGGACCGATATGCTAATTGCCTTGTTCCACGAAGGAGTTCGAGAAAGTTCCGAGTCTCGTCAAGGCGGAGAAGATTAATCGGTGAAGGCTGGGAGACAATAAGATTCAAAACACAGCAATAAGTTCTGTTATTCTGTATATATTTCTGTAGCCTTGCATGCAGCGTGTTGATAGGGCAGTGAAGAAGAACAAGAAAGAAAAGAAAAAAAAAAACAAAAGGGAGAGGAAAAAAAAAAAAGAAGGAAAAAAGAGAGAGAAAAAAAAAAGGAGGAGGAGAGAGAGAAGAAAACAGATGAAGAATTGAAGTTTTGCTGAGCACCATGAGGCAGATACAGAGTGGAATGATTTGTTACATTGGAGATATGATTGATTGTAATGCCTCAAGTTTTGGGCAAAAACTTGAGAGAAAAGTTGTACTACCAAATTTAATTAATGGAGTTTCACCGCCCATTTGCTCTGTGGTTTTTTCCCTCTACAACGGAGAGTTTTCCACGTAAATCTTGTGTGTTCTTGTGTTCGTCAATTGCTTTGTTTGCTTTTTTTTATGCTTTGTTTCTTTAAGTAATTGCTTATTGGCATGATGAATTTCTAGTCAAACTAGGTTGACATGGATAGTGTCAACGTTGATATGTTCAACCATTAAACAGAAATAAAACCCTCAATCTGCATCCAACTCGGTTACAGAGCGATTCGAGCTTGATATAAGCAAATTAACATATGAAGCACCACATCTCATAAATAACAGGGCACCTCCTCTGATAAAAGAGCATGCCTACAGTAATATGGAGCAACTTCAGCCAAAAGATCTGCCTTCCTGGTTAGGTCTTGAGAAAGCAAAAACGCCATGATGGTGATGGTGATGGTTTTTTGCTTAGGAGATAAAGCAGAGTTGATAATTGAGTGCAGCGGCAGAATTTGGGTGTTAAGAGCAACTCCAAGGCAGAGTGTCATATGGGATGGCAAAGCGTTAACCGTTAAAATGCCAATTCAAAATCAAAAAATTTCATTTCAAAGGGGTGGCATCAAGAGTGATAAAATGACAACAATGGACTTAAAGTAACAAATTTACAAACTTTTGAGAGAGAATGTGAGAGGTTGTAAAAGAGCCGTTCCTCTTAACGGCTATATTCATTCCAACAATTCTATAAAAATACAGAGAGAGAGAGAGAGAGAGAGAGAGGGGGGGAGGAAAAGGGGAAGAAGGCTTGTCTGAATGTCGTTGGTGTCTACTTGCCTTGTTGGTGTCTACTTGCCTAAAAGTCTCTTCCCTAATATAGAAAATCCTTGATATCAAAAACCACTCTTCTGTCATCTCAAGCGAGCTTCAAGCAGTCTACACTATTTGACCCCAAACCCCACTTTTACCATCTCACTAGGTATATGCTAGATTTTGTTTAGGGTTTAGGGAAAAGGCAAAAGGAAGGAGATTGTTTATTTAGAGGAAAGAGACATTTATTTAGGGGAAGGGTGATTTTATTTATTTTTTGTTAAGGGTGATTTTATTTATTTATTTTATTAAGGGTGATTTTATTTATTTTTTAATTAATTATTTTATATTACCTTTAAATTGATTATAATTTTTTTTTGTAGATGGATTCGCAATTTGACAGTGTTTTTACTAATTTGCTTATGAACAACACCGATTTATATGATGATGTTATACAGACTAATCCCACAGTATTGGCACTAGTACAAAATAAAGCCACTCGAAGAGTAAAAAAATCGCAAAGGACAAAGAATTTCTCGCTAATAAAAGATAAATTAATTATGTCTACGTGGCTTAACACAAGTAAATATGTAATTACTGAGAATGAACAACAAAGTAGTACTTTTTGGCATAGAATATTGAAATATTTAGAACTTCATCGAGACAATCAAGAAGAGCGTTCGTAAGCTTCTATTAAAAACTGTTGGACTAACACTACCGGAACGGATCCAATTTCTGCAACATATTGGAATAACCTGAAGATAGAGATTATGAAAAAGTAGAGTTTTAATTTTTAGTCGTTATTTATTATGTTGCTATTATTTTTTAAGTTTTAGTCATTATTTATTATGTTGCTATTATTTATGAAAAACTATATATTAAGTTTGATTACTATGAAAGTACTTTGAATTTATAATTTGAAATTTGAAATTTTTATTATAAAAATATATCCGTTAAATTGTGATCGTTATGAAAACTATACCCGTTAAAATATAACTATTAAATTTAATTATATTTTTTAATAAAAAATATTAAAATAACACCCCATTTTGGCTCCTGTCATTGGAGAATTTAGGGGTGCCAAAATACTATTCAAGATTACAAATACTTGATTTGGCACCCCATTTTGGCAACTTCCTTTGGAGTTGTTCTTAATATGTCGAAAGCAAACGATTCTCACATACATAGTCACCGTCAGATATCCCAATGCCTCCTCATAACCTTAATGCTCCATTTGGTAGGGAGGATGTAAAATAAGAAGGATACATTTTCTATCCTTTAAAGATGAAAAATAGGAATGATACACTTTCCTTCTTTTGTGTTTAGTTGGATGGATGAAAAATAAAAATGACTATTTTTTTTTTTTTTTTGCCGACTAAGATTAGGGATGATAATAGAATCGTGTCGTATCAGATTCGTGTTGAGTTATTATGGGTTTGTGTCGAATATTAATCAAATCTAATTTAACTCATTTAACTAATTGTGTCTTGTCGAATTACGAGTTGACTTGTTTATTTACGTATTGAGTTTAAGTCGTGTCATCATGTTGAGTCAAAAATTTTCATCTTTAGTTAAGATGAAATTTTTTTTTTTTAATTTAAATATTTTTTTTTAAAATTTATTTTTAAAATATATCTATAAATATTTTACTATTGTATTTTTATATGAAATTAATGTATACATAATACATGCATATATAAAAAGATATATAGACAAATAAAATACATTTCAACACAAATAATTAACTTTTCATCCACTTTTCTTCCGATTTTGAAGGGATTGATTTTGGTAAGTTGGAAGGAAAAATTAATCCATCCACTTTTCCATCCTTTCTACTTTCCTTACTTACCAAATATGATGTTTTATTTATCCGTCCAACTTTTCATCCTCCCATTTTTCCATCGTACCAAATGGAGAATAACAGAGAACAATACAGTAGGGAAACAAAGGGAAATTATCAATCCCAGATTCAACAGCTTACCTCAAAACGCAATCTCACATTATCATCAATGGCTTCCAAAGAGCATTATAAGGTTTAAATAGCATAAGTTATTCATCAGCCGTCTCACGAAGGGTAAGGGTACAAAATACGCATGAATTAAATGAAATCATCCACGTTGCCATGTTGTGACTGCAAAATTGCAAGAATGAGGATCTAACCAAGTATAATCTGCCTTTGCTAACCTTGAGCAGCAACTAGCATTTTATATGAATGAATGTATAGAAGAATGACAACTTGCAGGCTTGAATCCTCATTGTTCTTCCAGTCATAGCCTACTAATTCCTGAGGTCACTTCTTTATTGTACTCTCTGCTTGCTTCTGAATTAATTCTCGTACACCCTATAGCAACAGATAAAAACAAAACATAAACCACAATGATTAGTGAGGATTCTTGATATGTTTAGCTTCAAACACATTATTAAGAAAATAAAATGAGTAGTAGTCTCCAAAATACAAAACCACAGAGAGAAAATGAAAAAAGATAGCGTTCTAATCCCCCTTCGCTGTTTTTTTCCTGGTACACCCTATGGTGTCCTGTAAATAATATAGGAAGTTGCCACCACCAAAATAACAACTACAGATTTTTTTGGCCGGTGGAATAGCAAATAGCAGTCAAAGGGCAAGGAACTAAAAATACGAGGCCGTATCACCCTTTATCCTTAGTTGTTACATAGTTTCCTCTATGACAAGATACCCAGCAGTCAAGAGAGAGCTGATTTTTCATCCATAGTAAATCTCCATTTGATTCTGCTATCAAAAACCAAAACAAAACTTTTTCTCTTGTTGTTTCTTAAACACCATAGCTTTTTGAATAAAATAAAAAAAGTGAACATATGATTGGAACTCTTGGTTGTCACACCTCGGAGACTGTAAATAACAGAAAATGGAAGCAACACTGTTTACTTAATAGCTAAAGGGAAATATTCTATTAGCATTCCCTTAAAAAAATGCCTTGGAGATTCAAGTAAAAATTTCTGAAGGAATACAAAAATAAAAGTGAAAAGGTTGGGGAAACAGAGAATGAAGAATATAATCATACCATGAAAAATATCTATAAAGAAGGTTAAATATTGTTTAGAGGGAAAAAAATTGTACAGAAGTCCCGGTAACAAAGAAAGCAAAGATTACCACCATAAATCTATACTGCCAACCGAAGCATTTTAAGGTGAAGACTGAAGAGCTTCTTGGGACTTCTAGATTAGATCAAGCATACTCACAGTAGCTGATTTAAGGTTGGAAGACTTGCTCATCTTTTCTTTCTTCATTATGTACTGCTTTATTATCAGATTTTTTTTCAATAGGAAATTATAATATTCAATAAAATTGCTTGCTCCTCATAAAGTAAAAAACATTTCAAGGTGGAGATAACAAGAGAGAGAGAGAGAAAGAGCAATGGTCATATAAGAAAGCTGCATAAGCAATGGTTAATGGTGAAACACATAAGATAGAGGCCAACTTTAGCATTCCCAGCTAGTGTTTTGGTACAATTGCCAAATTGCTGCTACTCCATGATCATCAAGATCTGGATCCAGATTTATTATCGGTAACAAAAAAAACAACTTGAGTCATTTAACAAATCATTAGTGAATAAGATATTAATAGATTGAAATCCAGATCAAGTAGGATTGTCGGATGCCAATCCTAATCGTGATCTAAGCAATCCAAGTTTTTGGGTCTATTGGTAATGCGAATATTTCTAAGTTCTACATGTTTTGTCTTAACATTTCTACATTTCACATATATACTATGGTTGTTTTATTTCTGTTTCTAAGTTTGCTGCATTAATTACATATTTGTTTAGTCCAATTTTTCCAGTTTATATGATTCTACAATTCTCGGTCAGATCCGTCAATCCCAATCCTTTAGCCTCCCCATCAATACAAGGTAGAATCCTGATCTTAAAAAGCTTGAGCTATTCCAAGTAATCTAGCACACTTTGCTAACATTTGGTAAAACATATCTGCACAAAAAGCAAAGATGTGATATCATTAAGTTCCTAAATTTAACATCCACATTGCAAATGTCACTGTTTTAAAATTTGACTAGATCAAAAAACAATTAGATAGGCAATCCAAAATTTGGAGGAAAAAAACAGTTGACTAACTTATACACTCCAACTAACATATATACTAAAAATAAAGCGAATAAAAGTGATTCATTTGCAAATGAGGCAAAACACAACAAGAGTATATGTTCTATTCAACATTAATAGTAACTTTAAAGCATTGTTATGATGTTTTCAACACAGAATGAGCTTAAAAGCAATTTTTAAAGAAGCAATAATTGACATATACATGTATCAAGCTTCATCTGTTGCAAGAATGTCATAAAAGAGCAATACAATAGTATGTGAAATATGGTGACAACTCTACTCCCATTCAATGAGTATTTTGCAAAAGCCATGCATACCAGACTTTTTTCAAATTTTCGAACCCTGTACCCTCTTCTACTTCTTAATATTTGTATTCTGTATCAAGCGGCTCTCTGTATTCCAAAGCCCTATTTCCCCTTATGTTCCATAATATACATCAAACTTCTCTTTGGCTTCAACATTCTGTGTGAGAAATGCAAATTTTCTGATAAGTGTTTTGCATAAACACATGATTCAAGTTTTTTGCTTGGTTCTTTCAACACCAATTGTTGCCTTACGTGCAATCAAGTTTTCACATGGCTTTAATTTTTAGACCCTCTTTCGTGATAGTAAAAATGCAACGATATGCTAAGTTGCTGTGTTTTCTAGATAATTTAAAGGAATTTTCCTTCTCAAAAAGTTTCAATTTTAAGCCTAAATTGAGCCCACCTCCTACATTAAGCAATAATCCAAGAACATAAGTTCCCAAAAAACCAAATTGGCAGAGTGATCCGATCCGAACACAACAAAACCAAACAATTACTTAAATGAAGAATTTCATATCCAAAAGAAGTGACGATTAAAGAACCAACCGTGGATTGAAGAGGAGGAGGTTCGATATTAATGGACCTCATGGACATCTTGGCGATCTCGGATATGGCAGCTTCCCGAACTTGAGGGAGCTCGCTAGACAAGTCCTCGTAGGCAGCCTCAAACGCCTCTTGCCAGAATCGAGGCAATCTGATACGATGACTGTTCGTATAAACATCCCACATGTGCTTCACCACCTTCTCTCTATCCTCCATTTCCTATTCATTTACAAATAATCATAACGTGAAAATCAAATATATTTATGCATTTACATACAAATACACAGACGAGAGAGACGAGACAGAGTCTTACGAGGACGTCGAGGTCATCGTGGATGGGAGGGCCAATGTCGTCGGAGATGCGGTTGAGATTGCCAGCGGACCAATGGAGAGTGACGGTGCCGGTGAGCATTGACCAGAAAGCGAGAAGCAAAATTGCAGCCAATGCCCAGAATTTGTATCGGCCTCTGCCGAATAGGTTCGACTCTGAGTTTTCCTTCTTCGAAATTGTTGATGCGGTATGCGATGTTGGTGTCGACAGGGGAAGGACATCGTCATCCTTCATTTCTATTACACAAAGCACAGAGAGAGAGAGAGAGAGAGAGAGAGAGAGAGGAGGGGAGGATTCAATATGCTTATAGGTAGTTCAATTTGAGCTCTCCGCCAGATTTCGAGGGACAGTCGATCGGAGGGGAGAGAGAGAGAAACAGATTCGTGTTTCCCAAAAAGGAAGTAATTACCTCTTTGCGGTAGGTACGTATTGGATTGGCGGATTTTCTAAGCCCTGTTTATTTGTTCTTCGAGTTAGATCACCGACGGGCAGATTTTTTATTAGTGAAATCTCAATTTATACCCGAAAATTAAAAAACAAAATGTATATATATATATATATTTAAAAATATTAAATTTTCAATATATTAAAAAGTATTGTAATATAATTCTTCTGTTAATTTTCGTTGTTTATTTCATCAAAATTCACCAATTAATATTGATAAAATGCACAACAAAAATTAATAAAAATGTCATATTATAATATTTTTTAATATATTAATAGTAAAAAATAAAAATTTTAATATTTAAAAGTATAAAGTAAAAGTTTCTAAATTTCTTAGTGTACCAAATGTAATCATTTTATTATAAGTACACAGATAAAGGAGGGAGAGAGCGACCAATCAGTTGTTTTTCATTTTTTTTTTAAATTGAAGCGATAGAAATTTTATTAAGAAGTTAAATAAAGAAGAGATGATATTAAAAAATTTGGTGTCATCTCTTCCTAAACATCAATATTTTCACCTAATTTGGTCTTTCAAACCAGTTAGTGAGTCACAGAATTTTTTGAACGTCTAATCGTGGATAAAGAATAAAAAATACACAAGCGAAGAAATCGCTACACATTTGCAATAATAGCATCAATATGAAAAAAAATCTTCAGAATTATCGTCAATCACCTTCATGATTACAAAAGAATCCCCTTCCAACACAATCTCATAAAACTCAATTTGCCTCACAAAAAGCACAACTTTCCTTGCAGCCATAGTTTTTGTGGTTTGCGTTTCTCTTAAGCCAATTAGCTTCTTAGATATCCTAGTGTTGAACGACTCAATTTCATCTAGAATAACAACCCCTACCCCAATAGCACTCTCTATGTCAAAGACTGTCCCATCAAAGTTAATATTAAAGGACCCAGATCTTAGAGGAACTCACCGTTCTGGTGCACTTTCTTGGCCAGCACCCTAACCAAAATCCAAAACTTGCTCATACTGCAAAATAAACTTCATTGCATATGACAAAACACCACTGGATCATTTCGCCTTCGTTGGAATAGAACCTCATTCCTGTTACACCAAATATACCAACACAACACCAAAAAAGTTGCACCAAGTTTCGGCTTAAGCTGTAAAATGGTTTCCCAAAATCATTTGACAATGTTTCTAGCAACTCGATGTATTAAATGACAAAGAGGACTCACATTCCACACGTCTCACCCACAAACATTCTTTAATGATATATATCATAGTTTCAACAACCTCCCCACGTACACAACATACGCCATTCAATCTAATTTTTCTATACCACAAATTTTCATTAGTAGAAAGAGCATTTAAGATTATCCTCCACGCAAAATTTTTTACTTTACTAGGAACATTTTGATTCCACAAAACACCCCAATTACCCCCTAAATTTGATGACGAACCAGCACTTGTACAACCCAAATGGAATAAATTCTTCTCATATGCTAAATAGTACACACTCTGGACTGAAAATCTACCATTAGCATTATAATGCCAAATTAACCTATCTTCCTTAGGCAACACACCCAAAAGGATCCTTTTAATAACCTTTGCTTCATGCTCCAAGAAGACATCATCAATCAAAACGATTTTTCAACAATATGTAGCTGGATCAATAAGTTCACTAACCATAGCATCATCATCCAAAAAATTTTTTGGGCTGACCACTCGAAAAGTAGATGGGGTAGGAATCCATCTATCTACCCGTTTATGAATTTTAGACCCATCACCAATTCTCCAACGCGGCTCAGCTTCAATGATCGTCCTTTATTCTAAAATACTCCTACATGTATATAAAGGTATGTATCCAATCTTGGCATTCATAAATATAGTCGATGGAAATTACCTCGCTTTTAGAACCTTATGCAGAAGAGTATACGTCTCATGGTGAATTCTCCATGCCTGTTTTGCTAGCATTGTCATATTAAAAGTCCTTAAGTCTCTAAAACTTATCCCACCAATCTATTTCCCTTTACACATGTCAACCCATTTAACCCAATGAATTTTCCTCTACCCTTCCTTTTGGCCCCACCAAAAATTAGAAGCCAAAGACTCCAGCACTCTACAAAAATAATCTAGAAGCTTGAAGCAACTCATAGCATATGTAGGAATCGATTGAACGACTACTTTTATATTAACACTTTTTTACCATCCCTTGATAATAATTGTTCCTTCTATCCTTGTACTTTCTTTAAACTTTTTCCCTGATACTAGCAAAAACTTCTGTCTTCGATTTACCCACTATAGATGGCAACCTAAGGTACTTCTCATGTTGTTGAACCCAAGGGACACCAAAAATAGCCTGTATTTCTTTAACTCTAATCTCTAAAACATTCTTACTACATACCATAACGGATTTTTTCATACTAATTTGTTGCCCCGAAGCCACATCATAGATTTGAAGAAGGGCATAATTGAAAGAATCAGATTTTTTGGTAACATTAAAATCTCATGTTTAGCACTTTTAATATTTATTAAGGGTCAGTCACTTTTGTTCTTTATGAAATGTGTTTTAAACCCATTCAAGTTACAGTAACCAATATCCAAGCTCAAGATAGTAGTCGATGCAAATCTAAACACCTTGTGTGATAAAAAAAAATAATAATAATATAAATGAGAAGATTTTAGAGATTATAACCTATAACATTAAGCTTTTAAATTTGAGTTTCGCAAAGAGAACCCAAAAGACCTAATGTGTATGACGATCAAGTGATTATTTTCAAGTATATGAAAGGTTTTGTATCTTGATTTTATTTTATAATCATGAAATTTAAAGAGAACAATAAATTTAATCTCAAATATGTTGTAGGGGAAGTTTTAGATGTTACTAAATCGAGTTTTAATTTTGAATCTTGTTACAAGAACCCAAATTACCTAATGCACCTGAACTCTAAGTGGTCCTATTGTCATCTTTTATAACGGGAAATCTCAATTCAGCATGTCCATATGCCAAGGTTTTGTACACTTCATCAATTCCACAAGTCTGCTCAGGTAAATCTTGATACATAAATCAACATTTATAGGTGTTCATCCTAAGTTCAATTGAGTTTTCCACGTATAGGAAACTTAGAATTGATAATCAAGTTGAGCTTTGCGAACTCAAGCGAATCTGTCAAAGTCGTTTTTTTAAACGAATTTAAAAAATTATTTAAGATCGATCTCATTTAAAAAATAAGTTGAACCCGAACCAAACTAAAAACGAGTCAAACTTGAACCGAAGTTGAGTAGCCCAACTATTTTATATATAAACGAATCGAACTTTGTGAGTTAAAGTAAAACTTAAAAAAAAATTTAAAAAAACTAACCGAGCTCGAGTTGAGCCCTTTAAGAATTGTATCTGAGTTTAGTCTAAATAACTTTACTCAATTATCTATCAAAAATCTTTTGAATACCAATAATTGTAGTAGAAAGCATTACTTATAAACCTATTAACCACAAATACTTACAAAAAATATCCCTTTATTTTCCTCCTCTCCCCATATTACAAGCTATGCCAATGTGATGGAGCTAGTGTTAACAAAATTTCTACTAATGCTAATCTTGTGCTGACGACTATGGAAGAGGTTGTTTCTTCCCAAGATCAACTACGAAACATACTATTCATCTTTTTTTTTTACCCTGATAAACCTAAGAACCCAAACTATGGGAGGAGATTAAGAGTTTAAAACCTGAAAGTCAACTCATCTCCACGTTTGAATATTGTATCAATAAGTTTTTCCATTTGTATGCTTCTGATGATGTATGAACTCAAAATGTGAGGAGATGCTTAAGCTGAATAACTCAAGATTTATTAACAGGAATGTGCAAGTGATTAGTAGAAAAGAAGATGATTAGAGGTGGAGCATGATAGCTCTACCCGATGCTACAGTAAAACCAAAGACTATGCACAAGTTAAAAAAGAGAAAGAACATAGAGATTATAGTTGTTCATTAGCTGAAAGATTTGATTAATTTACTCTAAATGAAGTCTCTTGCTCCTTAAGAAACTATATATTGCTTAGAGAAAAAAATATGATTACAATTTAATAGATGTCTTTACATGGAGAAGGTCTTTGTATTTATACCCCTAGGTGAGGTGGTCCCTTGGTGATCATCACATATTTCTTAAGTTTGTTAGAATTTTATTGAGAGAATATTGGGTTGTTAAAGACTACATTCCTTAAATGTAACGTGACCTTCTAAAACATGTTAAGACGGTCTTGTGACCTACCTTTAAGCTTTGATAAATTGCGGTCCTCCATATCATTAGAAGAGTCAGCTACGTGGTTATTCTGTTTTGGGATAACCTCGTGTTCTTTTAGCTAGCTCGTAAGTAAAAGAGCTCAATCCAAACACATGTCTCGAGCTAGAGATGTTCATTCTCCTTGTGATGCTGCGTGGATGACTTGGACACCTATACCTAGGTCGTTTGTGGGCGACCTAGATTCTTTTTAATTGAGGATGTATTTTGCTTTTTTTTTTTTTTGAGGATGTGTAGCCATAAGGTCGGGAGACAGATCTCGTCTGTTGGCTCTTTTACAAATCAATTACCTAAATAACATTTAATTTATGACTGATGCCATTTTTTAATATCATCGGTTTATTTTTTAAGATCAATATCAACAATATAATTTATACGACGACAAACTTAGTTCAAATTCTAAAATTATGACATAGACAAATCTGAACAAGCAAAATATTGAATCGGATCATGAATCGAATCTAGTTGGGAATTATTACTCATTTTTTTACTTGTGTTTATTTTTTAATTATTAGTTCTATTAAATTAAAATTAATAAAAATAAAGAGGATAAAAAATTTAGCCAATCATAATTAGTGGAGTTTCACTCGACCATCACTCTTAATGCCATATTTTTTTTGATTAGTGGGGCTCCATGCGACCATCACTCTTTTAATTTAACAAATGACCCTTATATTTATTTATTTTTTGTTTAATTCCCATGATTAAATAACCCCTAATTTCTACGTAAATTTGAATCAATTCTAAATTTTAGTAGGATTGATTGATGATGATCTTGAGTTATAATTTTTGAGAATTCTCAAACTTAAGAAGAATTAATTCCATTTGCTAGTACTAATGGACAAACAGAGAGGGTCTGGATAACAACAAAACTTGAGTAATACTTCAAACTTGAATGTTTGAGTGATTAGGTGACAAATTTTAAGAAGTCTTTTAATGTAATTATTTCAAAAAATAATAATAATTTATTTTTTATCAATAAAGATAAAACTTGAAACAGGCGACTATACGCGTGCGGAGGGGCATCGACCAGTCGTATTGCCAAGCCAATAGACGGTCAGATTTCTTGCTCACCACACATAGTGGCATTCCCGTAATACCCACAAATTCCAGTGGCATCGAGTTAATCGCCACAATATTTATATCGCCACACAGATGACGTGTCAGACTTGAAGAGCGCGAGATCCTTCCTCTATCTCTCTCTCATCTCATCGCATTCCACTCTTCACGTCCTTCTCCAAAACTAGCACAACATTCTCAAACATCCACCGCCAATTCTTCCACGTCATCGATCCGAACCTTTTTTAATCCAACAGCCAACATTCACTCTCAGAACAAACACAAACCCCACCCTCAAACCCTAGGGTCTGGTTAACCTAACCGCAACACTAACCCTAGTTACTCCCTGACTCGGGTTCGACTCACCTATCCAATTTTCTACAAAGAGAGAAGAAGGCATTGAGAGAGAAACTAGAGAGAGAAAGGGGGAAGATTTTAGGGTTTTCTCGTTTTCTTCGTGCATAGCACTTCCAACTTGTTGAATATACCTGAAAAATAAGGGTTTTAAGCCTTTTTCTCTGAAAATTAGGGTTAGGGTTAGAGTCAGGGTTTGGTATATCAATCTCTTCTGTGGTGGTAGGGCAAGCTCTTATAGCTTTTTCATTGTTCTATGTTTCTGTCTATATGTATTCATCTCTGCGTTTAAGTCGATAAATCATAGATATATGTGTGATTTTTGTGGTTTATGCTGAAGAAAAATCTGTAATTAATGGATGAGATCTGGGAGAGAGCGGTGGAGACAGCACTAGACGGCCAGACCGACGTTGCTTCGGTGCGAACCCTAACCCTTGACGGAGCGGTGAAGTGCGTTCACGGGCGCTTACCTCCACCGTCGCTATTCGAGAAATTTCACAACCTTCAACATCTGTCTATTGCAAACATTGGTGTTTCTTCCCTCGAGCAGTTTCCTCGGCTTCAAAACCTCCAAAGACTGATTTTATCGGACAATCGAATAGCCGGTGGCCTCGAATCCCTTGTTGAAGCCGATCTAGACTCGTTGCGGGACCTCGATTTGTCGAATAATAGGATTCAGGATATAAATGATCTCAGGCCGCTTGCGGAGCTCAAGCTCGTGTCGCTTGATCTTTATGAGTGTCCTGTTACGAGGGTTAAGGATTATCGATCTAGGGTTTTTGGTTTAATTAAGTCGTTGAAGTATTTGGATAAGATGGATGCTGAGGAAAATGAAAGGCCTGAGTCGGATGATGAGGAAGATGATGAGGAGGAGGACGATGAAGATGATCCGGGGAGTGGTGAAATTGACGGTGAGGATCGCCCGTATAGACTGAATAACGGACATACAGTGGAAAGTGAAGGGATTGTTGATGTTGATGAGGACGAAGAGAGCGATGCTGATGTGGAAGAAATGGAAAATGCAGGAGGAATAAATGGATCAAGTGGGAGGTTATTGCATCATCATTCCAATGGGTTTCATGTGGCAGCGGCGGATAGAGAGGAGGATGAGGAGGAGGAGGGGGAGGAGGAGGAGGAGAATGAGTCGGTTGAGGAGATTGATGAAGAGGAGGGGGATGATGAGGATGTGGTGGAGGTTCATGAGATTGAGGATAGCGATGATGAGGAAGATGGGGTGGAAGATGAGGATGATGACGAGGACGATGAAGAGGAGGAAGTGGATAATGAAGAGGGTGATGTTGGGGAACCAGAGAGTACAGGGAGGTTGACGAGCACAGAAGGGGAGATTGATGCTCATGAGCAGGGGGAGGAAGATGGAGATGAGGATGATGGGGAGACGGGAGAGGAGGAGCAAGGTGTGGAAGAGTATGAAGATTTTGAAGATGGAGAGGAAGCTGAGGATGAGGTGGTGATACTTTCCCTTTCATGAATATCCTTAACTGTGCTTGTTTCACATGTTGCTTGCGATTTTAGTTGATATTATGGTGGTTATTTATTGCTAACTGCAAAATATTCAGCTATCTCGCTGTATTTCTTGATTTATGGGTTTAAATTGTTGCCGTTGTTCAAAGAAGATATTGAAGAATATGGCCGGCCATGTTTCATATCTAAACCTCTATGGGTCCATCAAATTGTTCTTTCAGTGTTTTATTGTGGATCTATATGTTCTGTTGCATCTCATAGTGCATTAGTGATGAATAGTTGTCTGCATATCCTTAGTATGTAATTTTTTGGTTGTAGTTATATGTAAAATTCAATTCTATTTTTTTGGAGTGTTGAAGATTCTTTCATTTGTACTTCGAATATTTTGGGATGATGTTGTAGTTTCAGGCATCGTCCTCAGAATATCGTGATATTATATCACAATGTATAATCTTCCTCTTGCAATTCGCACCTATGTTAGTATTATTAGGTCCTATTGATTATTGGTTGACTTTATTTTTGTTGTAGCATGGGCTATATTAATCTAATGAAGCTGGAATTAAGAAATGTTATGTTATATGTCTGTTGAGATTGTCACTGATAGTCTGTTCTGGTGAATGGAATCTTAATCGTTGTGGTTGTGATAATCCATATATTCTTACTGTACTCTTGCTGCTGCATTTTCTATTATAATCAAGGTCAAAAGTTTAATTTGTGTTTCTATTTAAAATTTTATGCCTGGTTAATTAGTTTTGTTATGGTTTTTTTTATGTATTTTCAATTTCCTTTTTTCTCTTTTGGAGAGTTTTCCTAGTCATTTTATGTGGTTGGAATTTGTATGTGGATTCTGGTATGATTGTTCAGTTCTATGTAGAATTTTCTGCGTTTCTGTTTTTTTTTTGGGTTTGAATAATTTTGGTTCAAGTTTTGCTGCAGTCTTTAAAAGTGTTTGGCAGTTTTCTAATTTTTGTCTGAGTTTTTTTTAAAATATGCTGATCATGACAACCTGAAAGTTGTTTTTTAATTTGATTTTTGTTTTTCATTGATGGCACAGGAAGACGATTATGGCAGAGGGTACGTTGTTCAACCTGTTGGGCAGGTTGAAGTAGATGCTGGAGGGGGTAGTGACATGGAACCTGGACATGAGGATGAAGATCCTGAAATGGAGGAAGAAATTGATGATGAAGAAGAAGACCAAGATGGTGAAGTTCAGGAACTGCCGCCATCTACTTCACAGAAGAGGAAGAGAGATGATGAAGATGGTGATGATGAGGAAGAGGAAGATGATGACACAGTCGAGTGCCCAAAGTCATCAAAGCACCATTAGTAAGTTTGTTTTTCCTGTGGCTCTGCTGGGTTTAACGTCCATGGAGGCGAGCAAAGAACTACCGAGTTAAATTGGTTTGCAGACTGGTATTTAGCTTTTTATAGCCTTTATCTTTCTTTGAACAAAGTAAAATTTGGAGGGAGATTGTCTTTGGATGGTATATTTTGTTTAAAAAATCGTTACTGCACTCTTCCCGCTTTGCCTTTCTTTACTTCACAATCACAGAACCGTTAGGGTGCAATTCAAATGACGGTTGTGTGTGGGCGGGTTCACCCAGCTCTAGGACTCGGTTTCAAAAGAGAGAAGAGAGGGAGAGACTTGAGAATTGGAGGGAAAGGAAAGCAAGGGAGAGAGGGGAACTCAAATTCTCAATATATTTTGGTTTATATTTTTGTTATGCCCGTAATGCTATTTTTAAATTCTTCTTCTGTAAAACGCTTGTATGAACTGTCTTGTAATCAAGTAACTTGCTTTCAATTCGACGACGTTTTTGAGCTGTCCAGTCGTCTTGCACCACGTGTTATCCGTTAGCTCTCCTTTATCATGTGCAGTGCATGTGACTGACTATACCAGATGGCTTTAGTTGTCAGGTACGGATTTGGCTGGTTAATGTCCTAATGCATGTGCTCCCATCTGGGATTATATTAGGTACATTAGGGGGTATTTGTGTCCGAGTCTGTCGGCTAAGACCATTGGTGGGTTTTGTGATCTTAATCGGACGGTTGGGGGTGACGATAGCATTCTTAAAATTATTCTTAGTATTATATATGTTGGCATCGTTGTCTGTTGTCCGGGTTTGTAAAATGTAGCGCTACAAGCTTGTATTAGCGGCTCGGCTTTTCGCTTTTCGTTTTTGAAGCGGCTAATGTAGTGACTGGCTTATTATTGACTTGGTGGAATACTTGCTCACAGTGATATTTATTTGGTTTGATAGTGCGAGCTGTTTTACGAGCTAACCATTGAGCTGTCTGCAAGTTGGTGGTTGAGATGAGACTTTGAAAAGCCAAGTGCGGCTTGGCTAATGGCTACACACAGACACATGCCAAGTGCGGTAGTGGAAAATAAATGTTTCAAAGAATATTTATGTCCTATAAACTACTACTAGGATCAATATTTCATTTTTTTTGGTCAGTAATTTAAATTAAGTACACTGTATACTTCTTTTTTAATTTCGATTTTTAAGCATAGTAAGTTATTATTATGTTACTTTCAAAAAAACTATAATTGTCTGTATTCATGTTAAATTTGTTAATTATATTAACTCAATTAAAATCAACGTCAAGTTAATAATATTATTGGATTTTAAAATTTAAATTATCAATGTGTATTCACACTTCAAAAAAAAAACTATTAACAATGTGCTCAAATATTAATAAGCAGTGTATTTTTTTGCCTATTGACGTTCCATAAGGTAAAACACTTTGTATGGTACAATTTATTTTTCTCGAGGAAAAATGCAATTTTTAAAATATCTTTGAAGATAAAATAATATTACGAGATCTGTATCAAAAAAATGAAAAACTTGGTCCACACAATGTGAAATTTTAATGAATAAGTTAAAATGTTACAATATTGTCATTGGATTATATCAATATATTCAAAGATATTTTTTTGTAGTTTTTGAATCTTTATTGACACTCTTTCTCAAATTAAAGGTGTTAATTAGAATGTAATTTTTATAAAAAAAATTTCATCCACACTTTTTCTAGATAGAAATATAGTCAATAAGATTTTCTCTATTTTTAATTTTTTTACATATTAAAATTTGGGTTGATTAAAATTTAATTCGAACTATTTAAAATTTATTTTTTATGTATTAAAATTTGAATTGATTAAAAATTATACTTTTTTTACGTATTAAAATTTGGATTGATAAAAATTTTATTCGAGGCTCAAATCAAATATTAATCAATTTGAATTAAATTTTGATTAGTCCGAATTTTGATACATAAAAAAATACAAATTTTAATTGACTCAACTTTTAATATGTACAAAATAAATTTTAATCAACTTGAATTAAATGTTAATAATTAATAAATAAAAAATATAAATTTTAATTAACTCAAAACGAATTTTAATCGAGATTAATAGTTCAAGTAGAGTTCAAATTTTAATGCACAAAAAATTAAAATTTAATTACCTCAAATCGAATTTTAATTGACTCAAATTTTAATATGTAGAAAACAAATTTAACCAACAAGAATTTAATATGTAAAAAAATAAATTTTAATTAGCTCAAATTTTATATAAAAAGATTGCTTGAAATTTATGTAAGGGTAGTTTTAGTATTTTAGATACTTTATTTTTATTATAAACTGTGGTTTAATAATAGGGAGTGTAGTGATTTTTTGATAATAAAATATTTTTGAAGATACGATAAACTTAGGGACACATCATTGAAATTTTTCCTTAAACGAATGAATAGATAAAATTTTAATTTTTTTAAAACTGTGAATTAGTTCCAGTAACCCGTTATGTGGACTAGATCTCCTGTGGATAAGGAGCTTGAAGTCGAGTTTACATGATTAAAAGACGAAAAGCGAATCTTTTATCAGTTCAACCCATAATAAAAACTTTTGCTTTTTTTCCTTTCCAAACTTAAAACTATGGATGCCTCCTCAAAGATGATGATGCTCTTATCTCCCGTCTCAACCTCACTGCCTTCCCTGCACCGCCATAGGTACAGTCTGTTGCACAGAAGAACAGGAGGGTCCCATGTACCACTCAAGCTCAAGGTTCAAGCCATGGCAAAAGAGAGTAGTGAAACTGACAATGGAATTGCTGAGAAAGCAGCGATTGTTGGTGGATTGGTCTCCACCCCAGTGATTGCTTGGTCTCTCTACACCCTCAAGACGACCGGCTGCGGCCTACCGCCCGGACCGGGTGGCTCAATCGGTGCACTTGAGGGTCTGAGCTATCTGGTTGTTGTGGGGATTGTGGCTTGGTCGTTGTACACCAAGACCAAAACTGGCTCAGGTTTACCTAATGGGCCTTTTGGGTTGTTGGGAGCTGTGGAAGGATTGTCTTACTTGTCATTGCTTGCCATTGTTGTTGTGTTTGCGTTGCAGTTCTTTGAGAATGGTTCCATCCCCGGCCCACTTCCCACTGACCAGTGCTTCGGCTGAGCTCTCTCTCTCTCTCTCTCTCTCTCTCCATTGTTGGGTAAGGTAAAATTATTTTTCTTGATGATAGTCAGGAATTGGCCACCAGATTTCTTTCTGGTGTTTTGTGGTCAGTATGCATTCAAGCTGTCATTTTTTTCTGTGTAAGTTGTGTGTTTTTTTACTTACTTCCAGTCAAATTGTTCTAATTTACTGGTGTACAGCACCATCTCTAAACATGATCTGTTTTGGAGATTTTCTTTGGTACCATTATTATTGTACTTTAGTAAAGGATACAATCAAATTAGATCCAATTATGACTTCAATTTATCAAAATATGATATAAAATGAAGTTGAATCGAATCAAATTTTTTTAAATTTTGATCGATTCAAAGTCTAAGAATCACTTCTAAAATTTTTAGGATCGATAGAATAAAGTAATTTTAATTTCTATACGGTCCATTATCCATGATATGTCACCATTGTTGTGATCAGTTTCCCATTTAATTACTTGATCAACCATGTGAATCTCTCTTCTGGCAAAAGAGAATTTACTCAACAGTCCAGTGTATAGAACTCTGTTGGCTTTCGAGTTTCATTGCTGTACGCAGTAAAATAAAGATCATTCTTGACAATATGGCCATCAACATGGTCTGTTCTTAATAGAATGGACCTAATTCTCTGAATTTTGGACTTATGTTGGGTCCTTTCTTTCTCTTGGTGTAGCATGTGTAGACAAGCGTAAATCAAAATAACTCCATGCCTATGTTCTCTGGAGCTAGAACCAATTAGTAAAACAAATTTTAATAGCGATAAAATTAAGTCACGCGGATGCGTTTCTATACAAAACTCTTCTCTTCTTCACTCAGAGAGGCGCAGTCCATAAAAAAAAAAAGTACTCTTGTTTGAGTGGCTCACAATGAATGAGAGAATATTAAACACTCACATATTCAATCTATAATTTTGACTGACCAGAAAAAAATATATATTTAAAACTTAGGGTGATAAGGTTGTTTTCTTACAAATAAAAGGTTACTGGTTCGATACTTTTCATTAGAATTATTAATTGTGTCCGTTTAAACGAATAACGGGTGAAAAACATATAAACTCATACACGACACGTTTAATAAACAGATAAAAAATCTTAACATGAACACGACCAGTTTAATAAACGGGTAATACGACATAACGCATTTATAACTCGTTTATTGCTAATTATATTTACCTTAAAAAAGAGAAATTTTTAGTTAAATCTCATAAAAATAAGACTTGAAAGCTTAACAAAAACAAAAAAACAAAACCTAGGCGATTGTTTTTTATAGGCAACTCAGTCCATTCCATCTCCCCTCATTTTCCAATGTGAAACAAAAACAAAAGGCATTAGTTTGTCTTTCTTTTTTTTTTTTTTTGGTCAGACCATCCGGTATCCGAAAGTCACTTTGGACTCCGACTAATCTAGATTCAAGCCGGGTAGGACCACAAGGGCGACAAAGCTTTCCCTACCAAACATAGTTGGATTTCCAAAACTCGAACTCGAGACCTTGGTTTAGTTAGAACAGTCCCTCACCAATTGATCTAACGCTTTGTGGTACTGTCTTTGTCTTTGAAGTGTTCCTCATCTCATCTCTTTTATCTTTGAATTATTACTTTCTTTTTTTTTTATTAATTTTTCTACTTCTTTTTTTTGTTAGTTTTTTAAAATAATTATTAATTTATTATTATATTAATTTTATTTAAACGGGTAAACGTGTGATAAATGATTTGACAAGTCTTATCCGAACACGACCCGTTTATTAAACGTGTTTGGCGTGTCAACCCGTTTATCACCCAAACTCGCTTAATTCGTACTGATTAATCGTGATGTGTCGGATTTTGACAGTCTTACTTTTCATACCTCTAAAGACCCGCCACACTTGTTACTCAAGGATATGTTTTTAAACTAATTCAACTACGACTCATATTAGAGTTTGAAAGAACAGTCGGTACAAATCTGAATACCATGTAATAAAATAAATCAAGTTTTGTTTTCGAGTCGCTTGATCGTTTTCTGTTCAAATTCCTAAGGGCATATAGCAAAGGAGCAAATCAAAATAATTAATTGCGGGTCTAAACTAATATTTTCAGAACTTATGAGGGACGACGTGACATTAATCCTAGACCGCATTTAGAAATACGCGAACTACATTGGCTCCACATTCTCAAACAATTCCTGAAAACTTCGAAGAAAACCCTATCCTTCTACGAGGCAACTTCGGGAAACCCTAAGAAAAGTTTGGAGTCAACGCGTGTTTTCACAACCCATTTATCACCCGATCAAGGACGCTCTGTTGGATCAGTATCAGATTTTGCTAGGGTAAGTATCTATTCTCAGATCTCCTTCTCCCCTAGTCATTTTGTTTTGATTTCAATACTCTAATTCTTACCGGTAATAATGATTTTATTTTTGCGATCACTGACCTTTCTTATAGTTCATTTTCCAAGATCAAAGGCTAGGGTTTATAGGTATTTTTATGCGTGAATGGATTTTTACATTTCGATCACTATTAAGATCCGAATTTTCTATGATCTTGTTTTTCGTCTGTGTGGTTTTCTTGGTAATTTAGGGCTTTGTTTGGTCTGCTTGATTGTTGGCAATTTAGAGACTTAAATCGTATATTCTAGAGGAACAGAGGAAACCTCATTTTTCAATTTGTTTGTATTGTTGTTGTATCATGTGTGGTTTTGTTGGTAATTAGGGCTTTGTTTGGTCTGCTTGATTGTTGGCAATTTAGGGACTTAAACCTTATATACCTGGAAGGCATCTAGAGGAACAGGGAAAACCTCATTTTTTATTTTTTATTTTTTATTGTTGTAGTATCATATGTTAGCAAATTTGTCTACCATGAAATACTCTGAAGTGTTGTTGTGTTTGTAATAGCAGAATAATTTTTTGTTGCAAGTCAATGGATCGTGGAAAAAGGCCTGGTAAATTCCTCGGAGAAAGGCACAATAAGATATACATGGACCTCAAGGACATAATAAGGGAACATGCCCTCCCTTTCCTTCCTGCAAAATCACTTTTTAGGTTTCAAGGTGTTTGTAGGGATTGGAAGTACCAGATTTCAACTCCGTTCTTTGCACATAAACAGTCACTTGGCTTCCGTGCTATCTCAGGTCTATTTTGTCAGACTCTTGGAGACCCGCCATTGTTTGTTTCCACTGACCTAAAATCTTGTGGAGTGCCAGACCCCTCTTTGAAGTTTTTGCCTGTACCTTTTGACATCAAGTCTTCATCCAATGGACTACTTTGTTGCCAGGGTTGCACGGAGGATAAAGCCTTTTACATCTGCAATCCTGTTACTCAGCAGTGGACAAAACTTCCAAAACCAAATGCTGATCACGGGCCTGATCCTGCTGTTGTACTCGTCTTTGAACCATCACTCCTCAACTTTGTGGCTGATTACAAACTCATTTGTGCTTTCCCATCTGCTGATTTTGATGATGCTACTGAATTTGAGATCTATTCCTCCAAAGAAGGATCTTGGAAAATTTCTGGGGAGATATGCTTTGCTTGTAGAATGCCCATGCCAAGATCAGGAGTTCATGTGAATGGCGTTGTATACTGGAGGGCGAAACATGGTGGTATTCTTGCCTTTGATCTGACAAAGGACAGGTCTCGATTTCTGCAAAGCTATTTTGGTGGCAGTGGGGGTTTAGGGATGATGGATGGAAAGCTTTGTACAGCTCATGCAAGTGGTTGTTCAATAAAAGTTCATGTGTTGGCTAATGTCCACTCAAACACAATGCAGATGAACAGTAATTCCAGGATGTGGGAAGAGAAAGAACGTATCCTTCTTGACAACCAAGTTTTTGGTGGGGATGCCCTTGATCCACTGGCGGTGGTGTTTGCTAATAGTGATGTGCTGTTGATTCAGAATGGGAAGAAATTCTATGCTTATGACTTCAAGTCTAAAGAAACTAAATTGCTGCATGGGGTATCTGAACATGATGCGAAGTGCGTAGCTTATGTGAACAGCTTCGTTTGCATCTAATTTCCACTCTTCTTATTACTTTTTATGGTAATCATTTCAGCCATTGGATATTTGAACACTGAGCAGTCTTGCTAGGAGACAATGTCTATCTTTGGTGGTTATTGGTGAAACTTTTCTGGTTTATTCCTCTGTTTCATGTACATATAGAGTCTTGTTTGTAACTCGGGGGTTGCCTATAAGTTACATTTAAAGACGATCTGCAGCTGCCTGCAATGGCATTATTTTTGGTTTTGACATATTCATTCAAGGCTGGCCCATATAGAAGTCTAAATAAGAGGCCTCAAACTTGTAAATATATATATAACATAGTCTACCAAAAATTTAAACCTACAAAAAATGAGTCAAACAAAAGAACTCAATTAAAATTTCAACCAACAAAAAAATTTAGTTAAATGATTTGGGTCCAAAAGTCTAGTCCAATGGCATGCAAAATTAAATTTGACAAAAAAATAATAAAGTTGAATATATTATTAGACATCACTAGTTATTGTCTCTCTATTATGCACACAAACACACGTTCTCTTTTTAGTTATATTTTTGTCTTTATGTAAAATTAAAACACAAATTAAACTATTTATTTTCATCATCTCTTCCGATTAATCTCACTTTTTATTTTTTTTTTATCTATTACGAGTATAGTACTTTTTAAAATAAATAAAGACAAAACATTAATCTACTTGACAGTGGGGAACTCGTAGAGACTATGATCATTTCAAAATACGTAAACACTTTGTTCTTTTGAATGGGAGGAGGCATAATATGGCCTATCTTATGACCGTAAGGACTCCAATTAATTTTTAGTCCTTAGTTTAGCTTTATATTTTGAGTTGATTTTGAATGGATCAAGTTTAATGTCTAATGTATTTGACAATTCTAGGTAAAGTCTTAGAAAACTCTAAAATATAACAATTTTTTTATAAGTCTATGTAAAACTTTATAAACAAACCCTAAAATGTAACAAAATCTTTTAAAAAAATTTGAAAGTAATGAATTCTAGCGTTATAACTAACACTGTTTCTCAAATTCCTTTCACACTTTTTTCCTCAACTCTCACCGTCTCTCTCCAAATCTTTCTCTCACTCCCATTCTAATTATATTTCTCTCTCGTTGTTCTTATCTATAACTATTTTGTTCTCTCTTTAAGACTCTAATTAATTTATTCATGCGTAAAATCCCGACTTTATAATTGCACCCAATTGATTAGCCGGTCCCATCCGATCCCAAAACCACTAAAACATTAAAACTAAACCACACTGAAATTTTTTGTAAAAGATCTTGTCTAATGTGAAATTCTTGTTTTAGGCCCCAATTCATATACGGTCGCCCTTGTGTTCATTAAACTATATCTTATTACCCCTTGTTACACACTCACACGCAAGAATTTCAGTTAATTCAGATTGAAACGTGGGGCTATGACATTTATTTACAATGAAAGTTTTGGTCTTCGTAAGTAATAGTGTAAAAAATGACGGCTGGAATCAGCATGTTCAGTCATTGCTTTGCCCTAATACCTTCACCCTAGTATAGTCCTCCTTGTAGTGGGTGACATTATTAAACTGTGATGCGTCGTCTGTTGAAATTTATCAAGTCTACCCGAGTGCAGCCATACATTGTTTATGTTACTTTTCTCCACGAGTTTGTACTAGTTAAAAACAAAACTCAAATTCAACTGACCGCTTGGTGTGTGCTTCATTTGAAACATGTCAATTACCTGTTCATCCCAAGCGCCACTCCAAATAAATAAGAAAGACACAACTAAGCAACGTAGGACTAATCTAAACAACTATAAGGGAATGGATGGACAGAGACAATCTTGGAAATAGAAACACTCGTAATCTAGAAAATTGACAATTGTCAGGTCATTCAAATAACAAACCATCACAAGCCAAGGAACTGGTACAAGAAATAACCAACTCAAGCCTAAACTAGAGGCATCCAAGGCAAAAGATTTGGAGAGAGAGAAAGAGAGGCCCTTCTTTGTAGGATGCCACAGAGAGGAAGGGTGGTCTTTCTATGATGAAAAAATCACAATGCAACACCGTTTCTCTCTCTTACCTTTGAGAAGCCTCCTAACTTCTTCATTCATTCAGGTATATTCTATCTCTGTACAATATCTAGAATTACAATGAACACAAAAAGTTACAGGTTAACATGCATCTGCATAAAATTTTTCGGGAACGCTAGAAAATATCTCTTCACGATCGATGAAGAATGTAACGTGTCATTGGAGTTCTTGTTTTATTAATGGATCTGTGAATTTGTTTAATGCAAATTTGCAAATACATTTGATAAATGTGATGAAATGACAATGTTTTATGTGGACCTTGGCAATTTCTTCAGGGGTACTGAATTCTCGTGGCGGGCAGTTACAGGAGAGGGAAATTCCGGTACGTGTTTGGACGTAAATCTTGGCCGGAAGTTCATTTGAAAATGGCTTCATCCCCTGTGACTGCTCCGTCTCCACCATCTCAACATTCGGGTTCTTCCCCGCCTGATCCAACATCATCAAATTCAACATCAGCGCCACCTCCATCTTTATCATCACCCCCACCAGCCCCACCTACATCACCACCACCATCCCCACCAGCATCTTCACCTCCTCCTCTACCATCATCCCCTCCCCCGAAAGAATCTTCTCCATCACCACCACCGCCAGCCCAATCTCAATCCCTAGCCCCAAAAGAACCACCAGCTTCACTTCCTCCACCAGGTGCTCCACCGGCCTCACCCTCACCACCACCTCCATCAGAAGCACTATTACCCCCTTCTCTTCCCAATGCCTCTCCTACACCACCTTCTAGCAATGGAGGTGTACCCCCATTGCCTATCCTTTCTCCACCACCACCTCCTGTATCTGATTCTTCTCTATCGCCTCCATCTTCCTCCAAGACTTTATCTCCGCCTCCACCTTCCCACGCACCTTCACACAAGTCATCAGGCTCCTCAAATGCATCTTCAGGCTCCAGCAGCTCACCGTCATCTGATTCATCTTCCTCAAATGTAATTATTGCAGGAGTCGCCATCGCAGGTTTCGTGATTCTTGCCTTTGTCATTGTCTGCCTAACATGCACGAGGAAGAAGAAGAAACGACCATATTATATGGATCCTGCACTTGGACCCAAAGGTATGCTAAACCATAGCAATGCAAATATATACACACATTTAATTAAAACAAGTTTGGTTATTTCTTATGTTTAAATTGTCTGTTTCAACAAACATTGACTTCCCCTCAAATTATACTGTAGAAGCTCACTTTAAATTATTCTCGGGAACAATTCTCAATATTCGGTGAAGGATTACTGATACTACAAAAAAGAATGTCTTAGAATGAAAATTGAATTAAGGGACCTTATACATTATTATGATTGACGCAGTAAGATGCTCATCAAAGAAAAGCAAGAGCTACTTGTTTCTTGTTTACTTTGTGAGTTGTATTGATGAAGAATCCTGTCATTGCCATTGATATATCAACTCTGCTTTTAACATCATAAGTGATTATTCCCGCCAAATAACTTATGAACAATGTTATTTAACTTTTGTTAGAAATTGGCTGTACTGATAATTAGAAACCAAAAAGCTAGGGCCTCAATTTAGTAACTACTGTTTTTTGTGATTTTATTCATAGGTGGAGGATACTACAATGGTTCGGCAAACTGGAACAGCCCTCAACCTATGGACCATGTTGTTCAGCTTCCTCCACCACCGGGAGTGATGGGAACACCAATGGGTGGTCCTGGTGGCTGGGCCGCACCACCCCCAGTAATGACAAGCAGTGAATATAGCTCTGGTTATTCAGGACAACACCAACACCAACACCAACACCAACACCATACACCATTGCCACAATCACCAAACATGGGTCTTGGATTCAGCAAGAGCCAATTCTCCTATGAGGAGCTGGCTATTGCCACTGGTGGATTTTCTCAGGCCAATCTACTAGGACAAGGTGGATTTGGGTACGTGCACAAAGGTGTTTTGCCTGATGGAAAGGAGGTCGCAGTGAAGAGTCTTAAGTCTGGCAGTGGACAAGGGGAACGGGAGTTCCAGGCTGAGGTTGAAATCATTAGTCGTGTTCATCATAGACACCTGGTATCACTTGTTGGATATTGCATTGCTGATGGGCAGCGTATGTTGGTTTATGAATTCGTTGCCAATAAGACCTTGGAATTTCACCTTTATGGTATGTTGCTACATTAAGCTTGGTGATTTTCATCCCTAGAGTTGAATGTTATGTTTTCTCAACATTCATTGACTTCTTGAAAATTGAGTCTTTAAGTTCATGGAGTTGGCTTTACCAAATAGCTATAGTGGCCTAGTAGCTTCAAATTAGCATTCAATTGAATTACCTCAAATGATTACAGTGTACACTGTTGAGTCTGAAAGCAAATATTTGGTTGCAGGGAAGGATCAGCCAGTTATGGACTGGGCAACCAGGCTTCGTATTGCATTGGGATCGGCCAAAGGGCTTGCTTATCTTCATGAAGACTGTATGATATTTTTGCCTCCCCCCCTCCTTGCTCTCTCTCTCTCTCTCTCTCTCTCTCTCTCTCTCAATCATCTTGTCAAATACATGCAGGCCACCCACGAATTATCCATCGCGACATCAAAGCTGCTAATATTCTTCTCGACAATAATTGTGAAGCCATGGTAAGAGGCCTTATATAATGCAGCTTTTGGATAGGATTAGAGATAATTCATTGCGTTGATATGAAACAAAACATGATATATATATATATATATATATATATATATATATCACCTAGATTTATAAATTATGTCTCAATACTTTGTATTCAGGTGGCAGATTTTGGATTGGCTAAACTGTCTTCAGACAATTACACTCATGTCTCCACTCGTGTCATGGGAACTTTTGGGTAAGTCATTATAAGCCATGCCTTCTGTAGGTAAAAGTTAATATGATCAAGAAACTTCAAAATCTCTTGCAACTGATACTTTACCATCCTATAGTTTATAACTTTAACTAGTTTCATTTGGGAAAATTAAACTTAAAAGTTAAAACCCCCTCAACCGCCCTCTCTCACCGGGCCCCTTGTCCTGTTTCTCCCATTGTGTTTCCGGCCATGAAATAGATTTTGATACTATACTACAGCAGAAATCCGACAAAGTAGATGAAAATTTGTCACTTTTCCTTCCTGGACTGTTATAAGATGATGTTTCACTTTATTCGAAATGCTAATGGGCGGATATTTTTCATCCAAAATGATATTTGATTTTTGAGTAGTATAAAACCAATTCAAGTAGTTGAGAAGCTAATGTGATAAACTTAATAGTTAATAGTAGTTGAGATGAAGTGCGATCGGGTCTATAGTTTATTGACACAAAGTGTAAGTTGCCCATTTCATATCAAACTCTTTCAGAGTGCCTCTGAGATTTTAAATTTGAACTCCATCTGAAGTTTGATATGTCTGTAGAAATCTTCTTTGCGTGTTCTGTTTTTCAGAAAGAAACATATCCAGATGATGCATTACTTACCCTACTAGTAGAAATTCCAAGTCCTGTAAAATGGAAGAGAGCACGTTACATGGGAATCTGCTAACATGGCAATCGATCACATGAAAACGCAGGTACTTGGCTCCAGAGTATGCATCAAGTGGCAAGCTAACAGAAAAGTCTGATGTTTTCTCATTTGGCGTCATGCTCTTAGAACTCATAACTGGGCGGCGACCTGTGGATCCCACAAGTAAATTTATGGAAGACAGTTTAGTGGACTGGGTAAACACTTGACCTTTCCATTTGCAAATCCTAAAAATTCTGAGAAACAATTTTTGTTTGGTATCTCATTTTTCACGTTTACGTGGTAAAACTATGTACATCTAATTGACGAAAATTTCATGTACTGATCTAGCCTTATTAATTCCATTCTTCTCGTTCTCTTGAACTTTGTTTTCCTGTTGTCATGGGGTGAACAGGCTAGACCCCTTCTAACAAAAGCACTGGAGGATGGTAACTTTGATGAGCTCGTGGATCCACGCTTGGAAGGTAACTTCAACCACAATGAGATGGCACGCATGGTAGCCTGTGCTTCAGCCAGCATTTGTCATTCTGCTAGAAGGCGCTCGAAGATGAGCCAGGTATGGATCCCTAAGCTACACCAAATACTGTAGAGAGACCAGCCGATTAGATATGCTATGGCTGTTCAGAATCGAGCACCAACAAAATTTAGTTGTTTATATGAGCCCTTTGAACCAAATTAAGAGCTATAAACAATGAAAGAGGGGCCATACATCTAATAAAGTGAGCTAGAAACAATGATGCTAAACTCTTTATGTGATTTATGGAAAACAGATAGTTCGCGCACTGGATGGAGATTCATCACTGGACGACTTGAACGAGGTAGTGAAGCCAGGCCAGAGCACTGCCTTCAACGCTAAAGGAACCGCCCAGGCTTACGATACTGGTGCATACAATGCTGACATGATGAAGTTCAGGAAAATGGTTATGTCAAGCCAGGAATTTGCAAGCAGCGAATACGGAGGAACAAGCGAGTATGGACTCAATCCATCGTCTTCAAGCAGCGACTCCAGAGAGATGGATCATTCCGGGCATCAGAGGCAGAAACTTTAGAAAATTCGGCCTTTCTATTAAAGCACAAGAGCTTGAGATCAAGACAAACACACCACTCCTCTGGTAATCATGTATCACTGGCAAATCAGTTCCTGCTTGTTCCTGCCATGAATTATGTTTATTAGGAGTGAAGATTCAGGTGTACTACATGTCTGTGTGTTAATTCTATGGATTTGTATTAGTATATATATAAACACAATCAAATTGATGGGGATGGACTTGGCTTCGGTTACGTAATATAATTCAAAGTATTATTAAGAAGAGTAATGTTACATGGAATTAAAAAATAGACTTAAAAACTATACTTGATAATCTTGATCATTGAATAGGTAGTGGGTCCCAATAAATGCTGATATTCACAGTGAAATCGATGGTTTAGATTATCAAGTCTAGTTTTTAAGTCCATGTAGCATTACTCTATTAAGAAATTGGATGGCGGCGATACACTAAGGTACCATCAAAAGAGTTAATTTATCCCTTATTAATTTTGCAAACAGCAAATAATCACTAAGGTTCAATGGTTAGGGGTTTTTCGATATTACCCATATGTTGATATAAAAAATGTCTATATATTTGACCCTGCCACCAAGGGTGGCTCGACAGAGTTGGAGGCCCTAAGAGCAACTCCAAAGGGTTATGTAAAAGGGGAATTTTACCTATTTTAGATAGTCAATTCATAAATTTTGACTCCAATGGCTATGTATCCCACTCGATATTTTTCATAATCCAAATATCACTTGCTAGATCTAGTGACCATCCAAGGTTAGCTATTTTCTCAACAGAAGCTCCACAACTTCATCGTCAATCGTCACTCCACAAAAGATCCACAACTCTATCATCTTCAATCGTCACTCCACATAAGCTCCACAACTCTGTCATCTTCATCATCGCAGATCAGTCCACATAAGCTTCTTCGTTTTCATCATTACAAAAGCAGGTAGGCTCTCACTCTCACAAAAACTCTATCGTCTCAATTTGGGAACTCTTCACAGTTAGTAGTTCTCAGATTTTGGAGGTGGGTTCTGTTTTTGTGGCTCTTGATATAACTAAAATGAATTCTCTACCTCCAACTTAAGCATCGGAAGAAACATTTATTAGGTTTGTAGTTATGCCTTCTTCTTTTTAAGTAGTATAGAGGTAAATCCTCTAAATATGAGAGAGGGGCTTCTTTTTTTTTTTTTTTTTTATGTAGTATAGAGGTAAACCCTCTAAATATGTGTGTGTGTGTGTGTGAGAGAGAGAGAGAGAGAGAGATGTTGAGTTTTTCTAATGGTGTTTGGATATATGATTTTTTTTTTTTTTTTTTTCTGTAGGTAGGCATATATGCCGTAAGCTTTACTATGACAAAATTTTCATGCATTGAGCCATGGTCGATTGATTCTTATAGGTAGGATTGATTTCTTATTGTTTCTACCTCTTCATGCACAAAAGATAGCGAGATTGACATGGTGAACAATTTTAAGTCAGATTAAAAGTACCATTTATATCATTGCAAAATATTTTATTATCTTATAAAATCAAATTTATAAGAGAGAACATAACGAGAAGATCCATAAAAATCTCTTTCAACTAATGCTTTTTGATTAAAAAAAAACTAATTTCTTTTCAATAATAGTACTATAGATAAAATATGAATTATACACGGTATTCCATGAAAGATTAATGATACTTCACATCATGCGTCCTAAAGATATTCATAATTTCAGTGGACACCCAAAACTTTAAAATTTTTGGAAAGCTTGGAATGAATTCATTAACAAATGAAATTAAGAAAATATGACTGAGCAAAATTTAGCAACATTTGAATCTTTCTTGCCAATCGACTTCATTTGAGTCCTCTAGTAAAGAGGTAAAATAGCATCAAACAGTACATGAAGTCGCTATCTAACTACAAGTCGCTATCTAACTACAAGTTGGTTTTAACGTACTTAGTCGTCCTATAAAAAGCTACTGCTTGGCTAACTCACTCGCTACTGGAGTGTTTAAGGTCGATCATGTATAATGTGTGAACAAGAGCTAAAAATATGGTTTCAAATAACAAATTTTATCTAACGTATTTTAGTGTTTTCGTCTTTATATTTTTATTTTTTATGCACAGTAGTACTCAATTTTGAGCATTTTAAGTAAAAAAAAAAATCGAAATAGATCATGTTGATATATTTTTATGTGATTGAGGGTATAATCTATAAATCTTAATATTTAAAGGTATAAAGTGTTATTTGACCAAAAAAAAAAATATACCCCGTTAAAGCTCAGTACCGACTCAGCCGACGAGTCATGCACTTACCCTCTCACCCGCTTCATCGTCTATAAATACCTCTGACTCAAAACCCTTCTCTATCTTTAGCTGCCGCTTTCAGTGTCTATCTGCCGTTTCAACCAGAGATCTCTATATCCATCTAATCATCGTGATGAAGGGGATGTAATCTTCTCCGTTGATTATTGTTTCAATCAATCGGTCGTATCAGGAGAGAACCCTAGGCTTCTCCGATCTCTGCGAAGATGGGGGACTACAACGATGCCTTCATGCGCAACCAAAACGCCGCCGTACAGGCCCGTACGAAGGCTCAGAACCGAGCCAATGTTATGCAACTCAAGCTGGTACTCACTTTAAACCCTAATTCTCTATCTTTGTTCGATCTCTTGGTGTTTTTATTACGTGTTTTGGAGTAGCGTGTCAGCTTAGTCGTAACCCTAGGGTTTATTTGAGCTATGATTGATTTGTGTTAATTATCATCTGGATTTGTTTAATTTTATGTAATATTCAGATTGTTGTTTATATGTACTTTCTTTGATAGGTCTGGGGACTTTGTTGCTAATTTTGGATTTGATTGAGGTGGTTGAGTAATTTTGGGGTTGATTTCATGATGTTAGGGTGATTAAGCAATGAATTAGGTTGTTTGGATTTACGGAAACATCTCCTTGTAACCCTAGTATTGATTTGGGCTGTTAGTTTGGTTATTATATTGAAGATATCAATAATAAGAATAGAAAGATATAAATCAAAAGATTAGCCATCGTTTAACCAGCTGTTCTTCTTTGTCAACGCATTTAAGGACCTATAGGTTCACTAGTTCACTTATGAAATATAATGAGAATGGGTTATTTAAAAAGGAAACGGTTCTACTTAGCCCTACATTAGTAGGGTATATTAGGCTAAGTAGACAGTTAGTCTTAAGTTCTAAAAAAAGTCTGACTGCTCATGCTTTAGGGTTTGTTGATTCAGTTTGTAATTCTTTATATCTATCACTTTCTCCATGGAAGCTTTCACATAAACGATCTACATGTTAGTGTGCATAGAATGATAAGAGAACTAGGCTTGTAAATCCATTGTGTTTCATGCTAATTTCTTTGATGTGTTTCTATCCTTATGCAGATTGGCCAAAGTCATCCCACCGGTTTAACAAATAATCTTTTAAAGCTCTTTGAGCCTCGGCCTCCTTTGGAATACAAACCACCTCCAGAAAAGAGAAAATGCCCGCCATATACGGGTGTTACATACATTTACAAATTAAATGTTGTTTCGTATATTATTTGTTAGTTTGTAGCTAATATTGTAATGTTTTCTATTTCAAAGGGATGGCACAATTTGTCAATGGCTTCGCCAAGCCGGGCGATCCTGATTATGCTCCACCTGTCCCGGAGGCTGAAACTCCTGTAAGATTTTGTCATCTGCACACTCAATTTCTTTTGGTTGTTTTCTTTAGTTCTGTTTTCTCTGTACCGGGTGACATCGATGGTTCTTTAGATTTTTTGTGTGATCAAATCAGTGAATTATGATATTTTTTGATATTGTTCATATTGGTACTTATGGGTGTTCATAAACCACATTCAGACAGATGCCATAAGGATGTTTTTTGTTGGTTTGAGTTAGTCATTCTTGTGGGATGTCTGTCTATCTTCTGGATTATCCAAGGTGCTATGCTTGAAATAAATGCAGTTATTCTTGCTCCGGAGTGGGTTACTCTATTGATGCAATCATAAGTGAATTTTAATCTTAAGGATCTGAAGATTAAGTTATTACAAGTGAGGCATCGTCTGAAGCTTATGAATTGACTGCATATTTTAATGGTATGAATAAGGCCCATAGATTTCCCTTTGCATAAGGAAGTGACTGCTGTGGATAAAAGTAAAATTTAGGGGTTACCGTTTTTTGGAATTATGGACTAGAGTTATCATTTCTTGGATTTGTGACATTGTGGCTCATGAGGGTCTCTTAAGTTTTTTTTTCCCATTTGTTTCTAATCCTGTCAGAGCTCTATATATATCTTTGTAACTATTTTTGTATATCCAGGCACAAAGAAGGGCAAGGATACACAAGTTACGACTGGAGGAGGGTGCGAAAAAGGCTGTTGAGGAGCTTGAGAAATGTGATAAAAGCTTTCCTTTCTTTTTTAGTAGCTGGATGCTTTGTGAAATTAATGTCTATGGAGTTGATTATTCAGTTACCTGTGTTTTTCCTATGTACAGATGATCCAAATAGCGATCCAAATGTTTCGGGAGATCCCTACAAGACATTATTTATTGCTAGGCTTGTGAGTAACTTTGCCCCCCTTGTTGATCAACTTTCAATCTGCTTCACGATATCCTGCTTGTGTACTTATTTGATATATTTTATGCTTTTAGAACTATGAGACAACCGAGAGCAGAATCAAAAGGGAGTTTGAGGCGTATGGGCCTATCAAGCGGGTAGGTATTATAGAGCATCCCCAAGTGGGGCTCAGGTTATTGCCTTTTCATTCGGTAAGAGGTTCAGTTATGTGGTAACTTCTTACTTTTAACCCCTTGTCTTCTCAAAAGTTTCATAATTTGAACTTTGATTTACAAACTTTTTTTTTAATTGTAAAAACTACGAACTGTTATTTTCTATCATTTTACTAATCACTATTTTCTCTAGATTATCTTTCTATTTGTATCATCTCCTAAGGTTCTTTTTTTGTTTGCTCATTTTTGTTAAAGCTATGTTGCACTATATACAAAAATTACAGCTTGATTTGACTATGAAGCTTCTCTAGTATTCCCTCTTTTTTTTGAGTTTATTTTTTCCATTTCATGGTTGGACATCTTGTCCATCCTATTAACTCTTTGATATATTATTTTCAAATCATTAAAAGAGTATTGTTTCCTATAAAAGAAAGTATTCCCTCTTTTTCACATATCCATGCCAGACCCTGATGGTGTTTGATGCATCTCTGATTTGCTAAGTTTATTTTTTATAATCTACTTTTGACCTACTTGATTGGAGTGATACATCAACTTGTAATTGCTTGCCAAATTTGTTCTTGAGATCTACTGTCAGCACACTTGATTGAATGGATGCATCAAACTTGTAATTGCAATTCACTGATCAGCACAATCACTGGTGCATAGTGAGATTTATTTTTCAATTTGAGGTAGTTTGGAAGAGTGGTGAGCTTTACTTTGCTCAGAGAGAAACTATTAGTTGGAGGGTCAATCTGGTTTTGGTTTATTGCTCTGGTATCCTTGTGTAGTTGCCACCAGTAGTGCATGGGTTTGTCTCGCTTATCCTTTTATACCATTTTTTATCATTGGGTTTGAGATTTGCCCGACTTGGGACTTTGGTATTGTCTTAGTTTTTAGGTACTTTCCAGTAGTAAGGTTCAATGAGTAAGCAGTATCCCTGGTAGGGGAGCAAAGAATTTACTACATGAATGGTACTATTGGTTCGTTTACTTTTGTTTTACTATCTGAAACAATCCAATTTCAAAGATGGTGCTTCATCCTCCATGCCAAGCTGAACATTTTAAGTTGAGCAGAGCAACTGTGCTTTGTGCCTTTTGGCCTTTTATATGAAGCAACAAATGGAGACTGACAACCTTTTCCTGCACTGGGTAAAATCTATTGGGAGTATTAGCATCTCTTCAACTCTTTCTTAGATTTCTACGTGCATTTCCTGCTACTAAAAATTTGACTTTTGGATTTAAAGGATATCAAAAAAGTTTCAGCGGTCCAGAAGATTTCCTGGTATTTGATGCATTATTTATAGTTATTTTGTTGTTACTAGTATGTTCCCTGGTAAGGGGAGATTAGTATGTTCCCTGGTAAGGGGAGGTTAATATGTTCAACAACTGGTTAATGGGCCACGGTTTTTTCTGCAACTCTAGCTGTGGTGGTGATGCATCTTGCCTGGGAAGCTGTATGATATAAGGTGAGCACGGCTAATTAGGCATTTGCCTGTCTGCCGTGCCATTAGGATACTCTAGTGTTAAAGCTTGTTTGATAACATTGTCACTTGGAAATATTTAAAAAGCTATAGATAGTACATCTCTGCTGCAGATTGATTCATTTTCTGTAACTATGCTTATTTGTCTCATATTTCGAGTCCCAGGTTCGCTTGATTACAGATAAAGAAACTAATAAACCCAAGGGCTATGCATTCATCGAGTACATGCATACTCGAGATATGAAAGGTATTTTTTGTCCTTTTCTTGCTTTGGTTTTCTTTCTGATATACTTACTATTTGTATTTGAGTACGCACGTATGTGTCATGCAGCTGCATATAAACAAGCTGATGGGAAGAAACTTGACAACAAAAGGGTGCTTGTGGATGTTGAACGTGGTAGAACTGTTCCAAACTGGCGACCTCGCAGACTGGGTGGTGGACTGGGAACAACCAGGGTAGGAGGCGAAGAAGTTAATCAGAGGCATTCTGGGAGGTAATTAGCCTGATTTCAACATGGACATGCACCTTTATACATAATGAGAGAAATGAATGATATTCAGAATACAAAATGTTTATTGAAAAATTTAGGATTAATCACACACTATACCCTGAGATTACAGAGATTCTGACTTCAGTCCCTATATTTTTGGCTTTAACAATTTATCCTCCAAAATTGACAGGAAATAGTGCAACTTTTTCTGTAAAAAAATTTAGCTGTCATTATCAGTTGGACTGGATTAGAGCTATGTTGAAAGTTTGAGGGCAACATCGAAAGTGCAGGAACTAAACTAATCCAATACTTTGATTAGAAAATGCTAACTGATGAGGTTTATATGCAAACCTAAATCATTAAAAAAAAAAAAACATGGAACCTCAGTTTTGATTGGATACTTCGGATGCATTGAGAAATTTTCTTGAAACATGAAGGCTAACTCAATTTGGGTGGGGTTCTTTCAGGGAAGTTACTAATAAGTATTTTTATGTTTGCTGCGTTTTCTTTATTTTGTTTCTGCCATCCATTTTGTTCTATCCTTTTTTGATTGTCCATCCACTTCCCACTTTGTTTTTTACCCCTCCTCTTCAAGTTCAGTTGTCTTTTGATAAGTGGACTTTATTCTGATTTCTTCCTTTAGTGTATAGCAATTAGTCAGTGACTCTTTAGAACTGAAGTTTCTGCCCAAATTACATGTAATGTATGTGTTGTGTTCTCTCATCTCATCTCGGTCGTAGGTGATGAGAGTGTTGTTGTGGTTTTAGCACGGGGGGAGAATTTTAGTTTATCAAACAAATATCAATAAAATGGGGTCAATTTTTTAGGTTGGGATCTTGCCATGTGAGCATTTGTGACTAAGTATTTTCCGATAGGATTGTAGATAATTGAATACCTGGCATTAGTATCTTTAGTTGTTATCACACCTGAATAAATTGATGTGTCTGGTTAGTGGCCTGAGTTATTCAATTTGACATATCTTTATGTTTGTGAAATATAATGTGCATCTTGTCCCTTCTTTGAATGTTCAGAGAGCAACAGCAGTCAGGACCACCACGGTCTGAGGAGCCTAGGATACGAGATGATCAAAGCAGGTAGTATTTTTGTCATTAGTTTTTTGCTTCTTATTGTAGAATGTTTAGGTGGCAGTGAGTTTTTCAAGCAAAGAAAGGGTACCTAGAATGATCGGGTCTTATGGGGGGATCGTTTCCTCAGTTCATGAAGTGCTTTGAACACTATTTACAGTAAATTATCTTGTTTCGGTTTGGCTTTCATTGTTTGATTTGTAAAATCATATTTTCATGAGAATGCTTAATGGGTATTTAGTGGCAGAATAACTGTTAAAAGTCTTTAGTTCCGACATCTGCGTTAGTTAGTGGGGTCATACAAGATCAACATTATCCATACTTGCCAGCCTTCATGGTCTTGCGTTGTAAAATTATATTTTCATGAGAATGCTTAATGGACTATTAGTGACAGACAGAATAACTGTTAAGTGTTGTTTGCGGCATCTTGATTAGCTAGTGAGGTTATATACTAGGTCAACATGACCCATATTTGCCAGCATGCCATATATGACTGCTGTTGACCAACACATTTTCAGGGATAGGGAAAAATCCCGTGAACGGGGAAGGGAGAGAGAAAGGGAACGGGAAAAATCTCGTGAACGCTCTCATGACAAGCCAAAGGATCGTGATCACAGGGATGATAGGCTCCACAGAGATCGGGATAAGAACAGGGACAGGGACAGGGGTAGGGACAGAGACCGGGGTCGTGATCGTGATAGAGCACGTGATCGAGATCGTGGACGGGAGCGAGATAGAGATCGGGACCGGGACCCTGATCGCCATCGCGACAGGGAGAGGGATAAAGATAGGGATTCTGAAGTGGTTGACGCTGATTATGATCGCGGACGTTCCCGTGATAGAGAGTATGATTATGACCGTGTTGAATCAAAACATGAGAGTGGTCGGCATGGTGGTAGAGATAGGAACGTTGATGATGTGCCTGAGGATGATCAGGGATGGTATGAACAGCCTGAGCATGGGCATAGGCGTAAAGAAGCAGAGCATGACCGTGGACATTACGAGTATTATGAACACCACGAAGGCCGGGGACAGTATGATATACCTGATGGACAGGGTGATAATGATCGTTATGGACATTCTGATCGTGACCATGATCAATACGATCAAATGGAAGAGGACGGTTATGGTGATGATCGAGCAAAATCTGAACCACAGGAAAAGGATCGTGAGTACCGGCGTTCAGATAGGTCCCTTTCTCGTGAGTATTGACTATTAAGCAATTTTATGGCAGATCTCAACTTCCTATGCTTTGCTGGTAAGGTCGTGAATGCTTCTCTTTGCCTTTTCCCTTTTTAGGTTTCTGGTTGTTTCTTATTTTTAACTTTCTGTAGTCTTTTTCGCCTCTGGAATCACGGTGCTGTGAATGATGTCAGGCGTGTGGTTTAATGAAGCTCTAGGTGTGTTCTCTTTCTTCTGGTTCGAACTCATGTTATGTGATTGGGAAGCTCTATAATGGACGGGGCATTTAATATTTTATGTTGCTTTTGTAATCTCGCCTGTTGTGAACTTTTTGTTCGACTCTGCAAAGTAATTTTGGACCATATGTTATTTATGGTAGTTTGCGTCGGTGGCCTCTTCCAATTATGTATTGGAAATTTGGTAAGCTAACTGTTATTTTTTACTTGCAAAAAATGGATAATCTCTCCAGTTTGTCCTCTCATTTTCTGTAGTCATATCTCGTATCTGGAACTTACAGCTGCATATTCCAAGTATATTGATTTGATACACTAGCATACTAAGCTATTGGTTATTGAGTATACAAGTGCACAAAGGATTTGTCCCTTCTGTACAGAGCGTGAAAAAAAATTGTAAAATCGGAATTCATCTGGTAGTGAGTGAATCTGGTACAGAAGTTGAAAAGAGACACAGGGAGGGTGACCAGATGAACAGTTAGAGGCAAGGGAAGTAAAGGAAATATTCAGCATGGTTCTCTAGAGAATATTTATTGCAACGGTGATATTGTGTCATCAGCGAAATTTTAATGTGCTGAAATATGAAATGTTTTGATTCAGCAGACGTAATGCCATGGAATTTTGTACGTCGATATTGCCAGCAAATAAATCATCACTCTCCCGGAATGGATCTGAGTTGAGTTAACAGTTGGGAGGATTCTTCGGACTTCATTTCATAATTCAATCCTGTAGTCCATAATGGCTGCAAAATAACCCTTACCTTCAGATAAATCCTGAATGAGTGGGTTGGGGAATGATCTTACAGTTGCTATTAATATTTCTCGTTGACAGGAGTAGGATGGATCGATGATTACCGAGAGATCTGACGATTTACATTCTTAAATTGATCCTTTAAGTTTGAATTGACTTCTCTTGAAACTCTTCATGAACATTGATATTATGCCGTCTTCAGAACAGAAAAAAAAAAAAAAGCTTGATGAAAACAAAGAAAGAGATAGAACACCAGTAGACTCAAAGCCTCCTAACTCCTCTCAGTTGCTTTCAAGTCCTCAACTTGTAGAATCTCAAGAGTCGGTGATCTTCTGAATACTCAACTGGGCAATCACATTTCCTGTTTCAACTTCAAAATCAACATAAGAGTTACTGGAACCCCAACAGGCCCCCCCCCAATAGCATCGACCCAACCCAGCCGGCCCCAACCTCAATCAAATTGTCCCAAGAAAATGGCTTTTTGTAGTGAATCTCGTAAAACAAAAAAACGAAATGGCTTTCAAGTGGTCATAACCAGCAGAGATTCGAAGCTCTTGAAGGCAAAAGGGGTTTTTTTTTTTAGCTCCAGAGTTTTTTCATTCAAGTAGAGAAAAATGGCTATGTGGAGCTTCAGAGACACCATTTCGGCTCTCAGTGGTGTTCCAGAGTTTTCGTTGGGTTTTTGTAGAGGGTTCCGTCATCTAGGAGCTGGGGCTATGAAGATGCTTTTGATGGCGCCCATTCTTGAGGGAGAGATTATAAAGGCTCTGAAATTGTGGTGAATGGTGATAGTGTAGTGGGCCTGTAGTACAGTGAATAATCAATTAAAAAAATAGATTGATGAATTTCGGTAGAAATTTGAACTAGAACCTTAAAAACGGTGCTCTCACTATACATCAACCTCTAAAACTCTTCTATCAGAGGTACATTAGAAATTTCTCAATATAATTTGGAACCCCCAACCTATTATTCACCTCTCACAACTGACAGTAGATATTGGAACTATTATGTATAATTTATACATATATTTAATTATTTTTTTAATTTTGACCCAAAAAAGTTAGAAAGTCACTTCAAACGGACTTTTTCAATTTTTTAAAGAACACCTCTAAGCAATTTTGTAGAATTTTTTCAACTTTGATTTTTTTAGAAGACTTTTCAAAACACAGTTTTTTATTTAAAAAGTCAATTTCAAGCAAGCCATTGTTGTGGCTAGTCCAGTCGTCCTTTAATAAATATGAATGATAAAGTAAAATTTAGAAATAACTAAAAACCAGAAATGATCAAGGAAAAAAAAAAAAGAATAGAGCAGATAAGATTATTGATATTGGAAGTTTCGCGCCACTTCTTCCCCACCACCGTGGGAGTTACTTATGCTAGGCCCAGCCCAATCTGAAAACTAAACCAAATTAAAAAGTAGAATTAGAATCGTGTATAGAATGGGAAACTCTTTTGATATTAATTACAGGCTCGAACTTATTGGCTAAATAAGGATACACGATGTGTAATTTTTGGTAACTAGGTCCAACCGTCCGTTTTATATTTTTAAAAATGTCTATTATATCCTCCAATACAATGGGATGTCAACGTTTCTTCCGCAATTGACGAGAAACTATTTTTTACTTTTCGGAACCTAATCTCTTTCGATCCTCTAGATCCGTTAGCTTCTCCGACTGCCACCATGGTCTGTTGCTTTGCCGTTCTTGCCACATTGGAATCAAGATCTAAAAAACAAAGACCAAACACCACCAGAGAAAAACAATAACTTTTCTTGGTTTTTTAGGATTTGTTTACTCGATTTCTTTACCTTCTGTCACCCCCCACAAACCGACATGAGTTTTCCGTTATAACAATTTAAAGTCTCTGTTTTAGTTTATTTTTGTTTTGGTGACATTCTTCGGTTTACTTGTTATGCTCAAATGGTGTTTGATGAAATGCATAAGCTAAGAGTTTTATTATTTTTTGTGCAAAGATCTCTACTTTTACTTTGTTGTTTTGATATATCGATCTTAGATTTGTTTAGATATGAATGAAAAAATTATGTGAATTTGTTTTTCTGGTTAAACTTATGAACCATTCTATTAGTGATTGCAGCTGTTGTTGTGATCATATCCTCTAATCGTGTAGTTGTTTAGTTCATGTTACTATATAATTTCGTAGAATTTGAATAGGATTTGTGGTTGTTACTGTAATCGTGTTGCAGTTTAATTCACGTTACTGTTTGATTTATAGAATTTTGATAATGATTATGGTCGTTAAGCCTATTATTGTGATCGTGTCGATGTCTACTTCACGTTACTATTTAGTTCCGTAGAATTTTAATTGTGACTATAGTTATTACTGTGATCGTGTTACTGTCTAGTCCACCACCCCTTTATACTCCAGCACAGCCACCTTCTATAGTACCTCCATTCCTCACCATCGTTCATTACACTTCACCCACATAGACATTACTGTTAATGTGATCATGTTACTATGACAATGACTGCTATTTTTATTGTTATTGTTACTTCTAGTGTCTCGCTGTTATTGTTATCGTCTTATTGTTACTATCCATTTTGTAATATAGTTATTTATTTCATTAAAAGTAAATTAGTTTTTATACTTTTAAACAATACTCCATAATTTTCTACCATTATCTATTAAACTTTTATTGAACCAGTTCTAATATGGAAATTCATCATATGTCATTGCTGTTGCCCGGTTGGTAGTATGCTAGACTTTTTAGAAATCGTCTGTTTCATTGTTGTGGTATATCCGGAGCGCCTTGTTACCTAACGCAAGCTCTACTGCCGAGGACCGGAGGGATGGAGATGGTTTCACAAAAACATGTCGATGAATTTTGAACCCAATCTGCCACTTAAATACAAGACAGGATGATAATTTTACAGAGAAAATGTAAATATGACACAAGCTTATAAATTATCTCCAGGGCGTTGGATTTTGTCTTCCTGAAACCAAAAGGTATGACAATAGATGTCAGAGGTGAGTATGAATTACGTAAATATTAACATGACATGAACCTATTGTTCTGAAAAATAAAAATAAAAATTGACACCAACTAGACTTAAACCATTGTCAACTCTGCCAGGGGCAATGAAACCAAACACACTATAAACAATAACTTCAAAGAGAGTTACCATTTTGTGTTATCAAATCATTCATTTGTTACCTTAAACAGTATTTTGATATTTTTGAATTATAAAACTGTTCCAATGACAGATGTTAAAATGGAGTGTCATTTTCATATTTTTATTCATCAATATATATAAATTGTTAGATTTATATTCATCTATCGTATCTATATTCATTAACCTATTTGTAACATCTCTATTTTTCTCTCAAGAATTGTCAAAAATACAACCCCAAAAGTCTTGATGTTATTTTTTAACCTTTAATATCATCCTCTTTAAAGTAAAAATTTTAAAATTCAGTAATATTAGAGTGACAAAATTTTAGGACCAAATTTGAATCTCAAATGATATGACAGTTAACTTGGACTTTTTTGATTGGTGCCATATCATTGGAACCCCAATAAAAATTTTAAATAATCATCTTTCATGTCATTTTCACTTTAATTTAATTCCAAAATTTAATCAATCTCGTCTTTTAAATTTGGGGGTAACATACATGGTTTGTCACCCTTAATGCAACCCCTTGGAGTTGCTTTAAGTGTGTAGTTTTGCAATCATTGTCTTATTGACCCTATTCTACATAATCGAAAGACAGCCCAACAAATTTAATATTCCATCCTTTTTCAGGGGATCATTATCGGCGTTGATTATGGGGCTTGGTACCTTCCTTTGTAATTATTTTTAATATATTTGTGAGTTCTGTTTTAATATTTTAAAAAATAAAAAAAATAATTATTTGTTAATAATAAAAATATTCACAAATACAATAAAAATATTTATAAATACGATAAATTTTTTTATACAAATAAAAAGTGAGAATGATATTTTTATGTTTTAATCATTATTTTCAGTCAATTTAATTCAGTTAAAATTTAAAAGAGATAAATTAAAGTATATAAAATCATTGAAACAAGAGACATAATTAGAGAGGAACAAATTATAATTAATCCAAAAATTTAATCTAAATTTGATCCGCAACGAATCCCAAGAAAGGATAAATCTCAAGTCTTTGTTTTTCTTTTTCGGGATACAGAAGTCAAATTCATCAGTACCTGTGGGCCCCCCTCCCCGCTGAAAAATTGCCCCATCCCTTCTTCCTTTCTTAACCACACAGTTGGCATCATTCCATTATTGGCCACATTCAAATCTAATTCTTGGAGTTTGAAAAGTAAAACGTGAAATATGTGAATCCCCAACAGTAAAACATGTGATTTCAATCAAATCAGATGTATTTGTTAGTTATTGTTTTTGAAGGTATAATAAAATAAAAAATTTGAATATTTTAAAATTTAATTTTATTATATTAAATAATATTTTTTTAAAAAAAATTTATTTTTAGCCATCATTTTCTTAAAAATATTGACATTTTTTTAAAAATATATATATTATCGTATGAATAATGTTTAAAATAAAAATTATATTAAATTATAAATTAATTAAATATTAAATGATTGAATATGTGATAAAAATAATTGATATGATGATTTTAAGGACGAAAATGTATAGGGGATAAAATTTAATTTTCTATTTGTTTTATTATATAGATTTACAAGAAAATTATTTTTTTTCTTCCGATGAAAACCTTGGATAAAAATTGATGATAACATATATTAGAATTTGACTCTCTTTTCCATTCTCATTTTTAATAATTGAGTAATGCTAGACTGACTAAAATTTGGGATCAAATTTTGAGCCCAAATAACATGACATCAATCAAAGAAACTCAAATCAACTGAGTCCCTTAGTTATGTAATCGAAACTCGACATGATCTAGTGCAGCTCAATTATAAAGCTCCATTAAGTTGAACTTCTCGTCAAATAACTTCCGAATTTAATAAAAAGAACCTAATCAACCCGATTAATGATCACGGAAGTTTAGATTTGTGCACTCAAAGAAGAGTTCGGTCCAACAAGCTAGTCTGCTCTCAAGACGACGTCTCATCATTTCTAGAAGGATACAAGTGTTAGAGATCGACAAAATATTTTTCTCATGGCTCTAACTCATTGAGGGATCAACACAATCTCGGATGAAGATAAAAGTTTGTCTCTATATAAATAGAAGGGAATACCTTACGTAGAAATTATTAAATCTCATTGTATCAATCTTTTTTTTCAAGCAATAGAAATCAGTGAACAAGAGACTTTGCTAGAGTGAATTAGTCAAACTCTTCGACCCGGTGAACCACTGAATTCTATGGATTATTCTACTTTCATAAGTTATTATTTCTTCACAATAGAAAAGAGCTACTCAGCTCTGCACTTGCTAAGCTACGACTCACTCAAACACATACACCCAATTACCTTCGGATCCCTTTGCAACCTCTCTATTCTCGTACTTTACTCGCGCGTGAAGGGAATGCTTGATGATTTTGCTTGGAACTGCATTACTACATGTGATAACATAGTGCCAAGAGCAATCGAAGCAGCCAAGAAGCTTCATTTATTAGCTTTGCAACAACAAAATTCAAACCTCTAATACCAACGACAATGACAAACCTTGTATGATGGCTTTCTGTAGCCGAGAAATTTCCTGGTAATCCCACAATTTCCTGTTTGTTTTAGTTTTGGCTTGCGGGTGGGTGATATTACAAGGTTTCATTTTCTGTTGCTATCCCAAGATTCAATACTGTAATAAATTACAAGACATAGGATTAAATCTACAAGGAAAATGATTTCAAACATAAATCAACAGATTCCAAAGGCTTACCCAACAAATAACCAGTGGGATGATTATTTTTTTAGAAATTTACGACTATAGTTATTGAGTGAATTTTTTGTTAATGCACAACAATATATATTGGTGAGCTTTTTATGCACAGTAATATTTCTCGTCTAGTCTTAGAGAAAATGGCGAAAAGAGTCGCCTAGCAGCATGTGAAGATCAAATTTACCTCTACTACAAGATAAGAATTTTTTTTTTCTACCATAGAATTAGTTTTGCATTTCGACTATGTAATTTTTGTACACTAGGAGGCATTAGGGCTATTCTTGTTTCTACCTTCGCCTACATCAAGACTGACTGGAGCTAGGCAAGCTCCATTTGGTAAATTGGTAGCAAAAGATGTCAATGGCAGAACCTAAGAGTGTAGGTACCATAACGTGAGCTGACCCAAAAACAGCTTCCGGGAAGTTTCCCAAGGCAATGTAGATATGAGGTACCAGACAAATCACTTCATAATCAAATGATGAATCTAAGGATGGCATTAGAATCTTTCAATTTTACTAAAGTAAACATATGCCAAATTTAAACCGATTCAAAAAGACACATATATCACATAAAATTAACGTATTTGAATTTAAATTTATCGAGTTCATGTAATAAACGGGTGGACTTGATTGACCCTTTTAATAAATAGATCGATACAAGTCCAACTAAACACTACACAAACTTTTACGACACAAATAAGTGCTTGATTATTACGATATATACGAATTGACTATAAATTGTACAAATTTTGACACAACACTATTTACACTCTACAAATCCGAGAAGACACTTCGTAGAATACATAACTCTTTCGGTCCAGTTTTAATCATCCAAGCCCCACCATTTTTAACCCATACAAGTTCCTGGATCGGGGTGGCTTTCTCAACTTTAGCGTACAACTTACCAATTCTGTTCATATATACAAGCAAAGCAAAGTAAGGATGTCATTTCATCATTGAAGTGGATAAGAGGAGAGAGAGATTTTTAAAGAGTGCACTACTCACTTATATATCCTTCCTTATACTCCACCTGCACTAATCTAGTAAGAGATCCAATTTGAAGCCATAACTCTTTCCTCCTTTGGTGTTAGATTTGATTATCTTTATCAATTGCATGGCTCGAGCTGACGTAAACCAGAAAGCTAAGGCTGTCGCAGCAACAGTTGCATGGGTAGTGTGTTGGGGCCTTTTCACATTGAGTGGTTTTGGTAGCGCAGAGAGATTTTTGAAAGCCACAGAACCAGGTTACATTGTTGAGAAAGAAATGAGACTAGGGTTTGCTCTACGCCTCCTTCATTTCTTCTGGCAGAGTGGAAAATCTTCTTATGAACATGTTTGGCCGGTAATTATAATTTTTGTTAAACTACTCTGAACATCTTAAATCTTTTAGATGATATATAACGGTCAAACATAGTATCATCGGGTCTCCCCTCTACATTCACCATTATAATTAATATTTGCACATTTTAACTCGCACATGAAGGGTCATGTTAAAATATATGATACTTCTTCTCTACCGCTAGCTGAATATATGCGATTCATCTCTCTCTCTCTCTCTCTCTTTCTTGTGGGCTTTACTTATTTTTACATGTGATGAAATTTTTCGTTTGAGCAGGATATGGAATTTGGGTGGAAAGTGGTGGTGGGAACAGTGATTGGATTCTTTGGTGCAGCATTGGGAAGCGTTGGAGGAGTCGGAGGCGGTGGAATATTTGTTCCAATGCTCACTTTGATCATTGGCTTCGACCCCAAGTCTTCTACTGCCATTTCTAAATGTCTGTAACTGATTCACTCACACTATTAGAGTATTTCGTAATTTGTAACCGCGATTTTTAAAAAGAAATTCAAAAATATTCGTGCATGCAAATATGATAAATGTTATTTTGACGGAAAATAGAATAGAAACGGCATGCACGTTGATCAAAATGTATCGAATCCAATATTCCCGAACGCAGAGTACAGTTACTTACATTTGACTCTTCAGAGACTCCGGCTGAAGAGGGAACCTCATACACTGGGTTGTTCTAATTATGCTAACAGTCAGTATAATTTCTGGATCACAGGTATGATCATGGGGGCTGCAGGATCAACAGTTTATTACAATCTGAGACTCAGACACCCGACTTTAGACATGCCATTGATAGACTATGACCTCGCTTTGCTCTTTCAGCCCATGCTCATGCTTGGTATAAGCATTGGAGTTGCTTTCAATGTGATCTTCGCCGATTGGATGGTCACTGTTCTCCTCATCATCCTATTCATAGGTAAGATATTATAATTGTTACAACAATTTCAATGAATCTAAATTTCCAAATTCTGTGGAAATTAAGGAAGCTGACGCGGTTTAACTACGGTTTTACTAGGTACATCAACTAAAGCATTATTCAAAGGCATAGAGACATGGAAGAAAGAGACGCTGATGAAGAAGGTAGCGTCTTAATTTAAACATTTTTTTTGGGATTTCAAGGTATTTAATTATTCCCCTCATAAAAACTTAATAGTAAAGAGCTTGAAATTATTGTTCTCCTTCAGGAAGCATCAAAGCAGTTGGAATCAGAGCCCAAACCAGATGGTAGGTACCTCATAGTTCCCTCCAAACAAAACTTCCTTGTATCTTTCTACCCATAATAAGTATTGGCATGTACCCGAATTTTGTTCTTTCACTATCGGTTGACAAGGTCGCATAGTTTTCGTGAATAAAAACTTCAAAATACTGAGAAAATTAAACCCACTTGAAATTTATGAAAACCATAGAGTTTTCCAGAGAATGTGCAAAAATGTTCAAATCGCATAATTAATTGAAAGGTTAGTAGATACTACAGCATGACAGGAAATTCACAAATCTATTTCTAAAAATTCGACAATTCTGAAAACTCTAACCTGCAAAACTGCAGATGGTTCTGGAGAGCAATACAAACGACTGCCCAGTGGTCCAGCTGCTTCAGCAGATGAAGAGGTTAGCCCGTGAATGTCTTGTTATTTTCGCAGTAACCCTCTCAAGAGATTCTTCATTAGAATTTGTAATCTCTCTTCTTCTTTTGTCATAATCTTCATTCAGGTTTCCCTGCTGTACAACATTCGAGGGAAAGAGTTGGCACTGCTCTTGTTTGTGTGGGTTGCTTTCCTTGCTGTTCAGATCTTGAAGGTAAGCTTCTTTACAGTGTAGACTCGCAAAAACGAAATTGAGTGTTGATTATACAAGTAATCTGGGGCCTTCAATTATTTCTCTTGGCCTATCTTTTACACAAGCCAACTTTCTCGAGTTTTTTCATTTTTTGTACACTGGTTGATCCAAGATTTGGTGATCTGAAAACACAATAGCATGGTCTTCTTGACATATTCGTTCCATAGTATTGAAGCAACCAAGCAAGTTCTTGTCTTTCAATCCAATTTGACAAAGTTTAGTTCTTATCATACAGTTGCTTGCAGTTTCTTCCTTGACATAATACTTGGACAATTCTCTTTGCAGACTTATACTGTAACCTGCTCTATCAAGTACTGGGTTCTGAACTCCTTGCAGGTAAAATCTCCAACCTGAAACAATCACATTTTTTAACTCTTTTATGGACATCAAGCGGTTCATAGCGTGCACACACATACACAAAGGAAGAGACTAGAGAGAGTAGTGTTCTGCATCTCTCCAGAGCTGGGGCAACAAATAGATGTGGGGAAGATCCATTGTAGAGTCGCTATAGAAGCCTTAAAATGATTCAATTTCTAATATATATACATATGTTTGTGTCGAAGGAAACATTTGCATAACAATCAGAGAACATAAAAAATCCAAAAGATTTGTGTGAAAAGAGATAGAAATCTTAATCTCAAAGATGGTTGAGAAGCTTTGTTTTTTGTTGCGTCTATCTCTAAACCTTTTTGTGGTAGCATTGAATAATTGGCTTTTATTTTTCATTTGTCCCCATTTGGGGTTATGACAGGGTGTCTGGTACCCCTAACCCGACTTAGGTCAAGACTTATTGCTATGAAAAAAGTTTGCCATTTATATTTAATTATGACTAAACTAATTTAATTTTACTTAATTATTACTGTAGTTGTTATCTTTTTAACGAGCTATCACAAAGTAAATACTTTGAAGTACTTAGGCTAGGCACCCACTCCCAGCCTTAGAAATGCACTAGGCACCATGGCATTTACGTGCCATCATCCTACAATCATTTTTCTGCAAGCAAGTTTTGGATTAGTTTAAAGTACCATACTCCATCTAAAGAATCATATCTGGTCGCCATAATTGCTTCGTATTTTTTAGGTACCCATTGCAGCCTCTGTTACTATATTTGAAGCTGTGTCCTTATGCAAAGGCACTAGGGTGATCGCATCCAAGGGAAAGGAAATCACAAACTGGAAGCCCCATATGCTTTTTCTCTATTGCTGCTGTGGAATACTAGCTGGCATGGTGGGAGGATTACTTGGACTAGGAGGTGGTTTCATTCTGGGACCCCTTTTCCTGGAATTGGGAATTCCTCCTCAGGTACAGTTTACTATTCACTTGTTCTCTAGAGTGTTCATGGCAAAGGGAAGCCAAAGAAAGAAACTGTAAAGGAAGACTTCAACAAAGTGATAAAATACTCTTATTGAAAAACTAAACGGTGTTAGTTTCATTAGTACTATGTTCCTTAGAGTTTTGGTAGCAAGGAAATTCTCAAAGTGTTAAAACGCAATTCCCCAGCATTTTTGAAGTATAGTGATATAGATTGTTACACTCATAGATCACCAGTTGAGGATGAAACTAAGTCGGGTTTAGGACAAAAACCTCTATTTCCTAATTAAGATATACAACTGAAATTTGACACTCTGGACAGGCTACCTCATCAATTACTGTGCCACTGGATTTGTGTCAGATTACTGGACTGATTAAGGTATCCAACCTAAATAAAATACAACCAAATGTTGTATTTATCAGAGCCGCTGTTGGATATCCCAACAATCAGCATTGCACACTGAATTGGGCAACTCAAGTAATTAGACAATTATATGTGGCATATTTGACAGAACTGGATAGTTAACAAAGTAGTACTCTTTTGGCAGGTGGCAAGCGCAACATCAACCTTTTCAATGGTTTTCTCATCCTCCATGTCAGTTGTACAATATTACCTTCTGAAGCGTTTCCCGGTTCCATATGGTGCGTAGTGAGCTAGTACTAGTAGTGGATAATAATGTGAAACATCTATTCTTACTTCTACAAGAAGCTTCTGCTTAGACAAGCAGAAACCCACAATTGTTTTACTTTTTATTCCCAATTTGATACAGAAAGAAATTCTAATAGCAATTGAAGTTAACCTTGTAATTTTAATTTCATCGTCTTCTACAGCTGCTTATTTTGTCTTAGTTGCTACCATTGCTGCCTTTGCTGGTCAGCACGTAGTAAGGAGGATTATAACATTACTTGGCAGGGCATCCATAATTATCTTCATACTGGCTTTGACAATCTTTGTGAGCGCAATCAGTCTAGGTATACCGGTTTCTTGCTTTAGTTACTATATGATAGTTCTCTAACCCCCCATTCTCAGCATGCAACTTAGGTGTTCATGTTTTCATTGCAAATTGCAGGTGGGGTTGGGATAGCACAGATGGTTGAGAAGCTGGAGAATCAAGAGTATATGGGTTTTGAAAATCTCTGTTACCAGTCCTAGGTCTTCAGATGGCTTTGCAATAATATCAGTGGTCAGTGGAATGTTTTCAGCAGAGGATAATCAGATACACACTGCAGTATCTTACATAGTCAACTATTTGTCCATTTGTTTTCAAGCAGAGATCATAAAAGTGTTTTAAGTTTATGTTATGTTCAAATATCTTGTACTAAAGTCCACTTTAAACCTCCACACCACAGGACGGTCATGTTTTTTTGGCTTTCATGAATAGTGTGTAATCAATATATCAACCACTTGGTATTCAGCTTCAATTACATGGTTTCTGCTAAACTTCAAATATGTAAACCCAAGTAGGTTGTGCAAAGTAGGAGACGCAAGTCGAACCCTTAGGAAATTGTGAAAACAAATATACACCACACTAAATTGTTAACAAATTTGTAAAATAATTTTCAAGAAGAATGTTTGAATTTGGATAATTGAATAAATTGATTAAATCAATGTACAAAATACTAGAGCATCAGGTACACCATCTCAAATCTATACAGTAATGATTAAAGACTTAGTTTTCAAACCTAGACAAGAATCAAGTCTTAACTGACTCCAGTCACCAAATTTATCAATAATAACGAGAAAATACATTTGTTTATAACTAAAAATTTATCCAGAAAAATCAAAGAACTGTTTGCTGGTTGTAAGTATTTATTGTGTCTGAAGTCTACAATAAATCAAACTCTCTTAACAATCGAATTCTTGATTTAACTGTATAATCCCCTAGCTATATTATTATGCGAAATAAATTGTAATTAACTTAAGTAATGAATAACTAGTTATTTGTCTCGCAGAGAATATTCAAGAAATCAAAGTATAAGACACAATGACTCAAGAATCTTTATAGAGCAAAAACTTTACTAAGAATCAAAAGTTAAATTAACAAAATTTCACATATCATTAAACCAATAAATAACTAGTCTTTTTCGTCAAACAATCACATTATGAGACCATAATCACACCCCTAACCCAGACCTTGCTAGTCCCTAGTAAGGTAAACAAAAACAAAACAAAAACAACTCCACTTTCGTAGGACTCACGACTGCATTTAACATATTCAACAAGTCTTTAAACTCATGTTCCCCCTAGTAGACGAATATAGTCTCGTGAGATTTTTAAGAGATAATATTCACAAACATCACCTTGTGATCAAATATTTGAATAATAATTTTATAACACAAATTACTATTACAATATAAAAATTATAAACTGTAAGCTTTTTATAAGCACATGCAAAGCAAAATATAAAACTCTATGCCATATAAATGTATGCATTTATCATGTTCCCGTATAAAATTGTGTGTAGTGTGAATTAACTATACTAAGTCAATAATTTATCCAATAATTACCTCTACATCAACTATTCATCTCAATGTCAAATCTCACTAGATAATTCACTTATAAAAAATTCTCTCAGATTATAGTGACTATTTTCTCAAATATCACATGTGAGAAGAAGATATTTAAATAAAAATAAAATAATACTTACATGTCTATTAAAATAATTGTAATTTAAAAGAAAAAGATTTGACATAGTCTCATGAAAGAAAATCAACACACAATAAATAAATAATCACCATTCTTTTCTTTATTCACACAAGTCATGTATCCACCAATATACTCTTGAGATCAGATAGGTTTTTGTTTAAGGTTGTAATGGGGCATTGGGATTAGAGTTTTGAAATGAAGGATATTCAAGAATTCAAAAGGCTATCACAAGAGAACATGTACCACAACCAAACTTCTTTCCATAGTCTTTCACTCTTCACTACTTAGAAGCACGATTTACAACATTTGCTCATATTTGTCTTTCAAATACACACTTGCTATTTTTCTCTCTTTTTCTTTCAATTTGCTCTTTCACAAGTAGACATATCATCTTTTTTTTTTTAAGCAAGACATCTAATGTAGATATTCACAAATATGCAAAAATTTTTTTTTTTAACCAACATTCCCCAAATTACATAAACAATAAAAAGCTCAATCTCGGGATAACCAAGGATAAAAGATTTTTTTTTTTTTTTCATTGTCTTGGTTATTATATATTAGGTATAAGAAATAAAATTTTGCTTCAAAGGCTCAATCACGATTTTTAGGGATAATAATATTCAAAGAATAAGACTTAAGTTCAAATAATATCAAAAATGGCCTGAAAGCATATCTCAAGAGATCTTGATAACACATTATCTCATGCAAATAATTCAAAATCAAGCAATCATTCACAATATTGGTGTTGATCAAAACAAAAATAATGAGACTATTGAAGGAGACTAGCTGAATAAAAATATTCTTGAGTAAATGTAAATAACCCTCCAAGGAAGATTAGATCATAAATCACCAGGATTTTTATGCATCTCCACTATATGTTTCAATTTTTCAAGGTAAAACACCTAACAAATTTTCAATTTGGTAAAGTCTAAAGTGCAAAAATTATAATTTTTTTTTAAGAACATGATATGAGATACAAAAAATATAGAATAAAGTTCTATGTAATGCTTAAACAGCAACAAATTTATAGCTAAGCGAATTGTTTTCATAATGTGGTGTCAAATTATGCATAAAAATGTTATTTAGATATTCAATTACTTACTGAAATAGACTGTGCATTTTTTTTTTTATTATATTAACGTTTCATACATTGCATATTTCAAAACATAAAGAAATCAAGTCTAGACAAAAATCTAGAAGATATAATAGGCTTTGATTTCAACAAAAAGAAATTCTTTTTAACAAACAAAAAACCAACAAACCACTGGTGAGGGGCATGCACGACTCTGAGAACTCTACCCCGACCTCTTCATCTGAATCCTCATTTCTCTCATCTCTTTCCTTATCTCCCTTTGTTCTCTCAAAATCTCTAACAGCAGCTGCTTATCAGTCCTGGGATCAGTGCCCTCATCAATTGATAAATCAAAATCCTTGTCCAAGTTGAGGAACTGATCTCACTGCTCCTCCACAGGCGCTGTCCCCTCAAGTGTAGCCTTTCCCTGCTACTCAGCGGCCTAACGTCTCTCTCCTCCTGGCCTAGTCACATTCTGACCCTTCAAAAGATAGCCAGAGTTAAGAACCACCATTTTCTTAGCTCGATCCATAGTGGCATCTACCACCACTCCAGCTTGCTCACACAAGGCCGTAGCTAACCCAGCAAAAGGTAGAAACCCCTTCTTCAGGTACATAATCGTTTGTCTCATCTTAGCAAAAATCAAAGAGGAGAGATCGATAAAATGTCTTGCACCCAAAACATAAAGGAGTCAAGCTCAGTCTAGGTGAATATGGTTGTTCCTCAGCAGGGGCAAAATATTTGATATTGAAATTAAATTTAGTATCTTGTACTTATTTGTCAGGTCACCCTGCTGAAGAAATCTAAACTCATTTGTCCACACAAACTCCTCATCCCCCAACAGCTCTCTCCCTACTACATCACCCAAATAGGCCTGGGGATAATCCGGGTTGGGCACTCTAGCTTGAAGCATCCCCGTTAGCCTAACAATAACGGTGGCGTCAACTCTAATGTGCTTACCCCGAACATAGGTACGAAAAATGTCATTGGCACAGCCATCCACATTACTGTAGAACTCGTGTGCCTAAACAGGTATGCAAGGCCACTTTCGTCCCATGAAACCAGAACACCTCCTCGAGCAAATAATATCCCAACCGAGCAAAGTCCTTATACTTTATCAGTCTTTCACAAAACAAAAGGCTTGTTTGGGTAATACTGAAAAAATCTGACCCGTGCTTCCAAAGTCTCAAAGCAGAGGGGGTTAAAAGTGAGGTATTCATCTTGAGTGTCCTGGGCATCGGTACGAGCCCTCTTAGAAGTTGAAGCTTGTGGAGGTGCCATGAAGAAGAAGCAATGAAATTTTTTTTTGAAGTAGGTGGGAAAAGATATCTAAACTAAGCTAATTGAGGAGATAATGTGAAAAAAAAAAGTGTTCAGTACACTAGTATTTATAATTTTTCACACACGTCCGGACGCAAAATATCAATTGTTCGGATGCGCCTCCCAACGACCTCATTAAACAGCCTTAAAGAACACGCGTCCGAACGCGTGATCAAGTCACGTCCGGACGCGTCTTTTGAATTTGAAACGTTTGGTGTTTGCGTCTTGACGCATGTTCAACCACGTCCGGACGGGTGTTCCAGTGAACATTACTCCTTAAGTTCACGTCCGGACGCATGTTTCAGAGATTTTCCTTCATGACATGCGCATCTAGACGTGAGTTCCAGTGGACTCCCTTCTCCATACTTAGAAAAATTTTCAATCTTTAACTACTTTCCTACTTAACCTCAAATTTTTTTTTAAAAAAAATATTGTAGATGCATGTGCACAATGTATATTTAATAAAGCAACATGCTCAACCCCCACCCCCCCACCCAAATTCAAAATTTTACATTGTCTCCAATGTATTAATAAACTGTATCAGCACAGTTAAAAGTAAAGAAGGACATACCAGATGTGATATCCTGTGCACATGTATCTGCAATATCTCATAAAAAAAATGCAATATACAACAATGTACAAAAATTAGTTTGAATGTTAGAGATGAATTATTCATAGTAGGGATCTACCAACTTGATGGATTCCACTTCTACTATACCTCCTCCAAGAATGGTATTAATATTTGTCCATTAACTTTAAAAATATTCTCATTTTTGGAATTTTCTATCTCTACTGTTCCATAAAGAAAAACTTCTTTAACAATATACGGATCACTCCATGTAGTTCAAAGTTTTCCTTTGAAGATATGTAATCTAGAATTATACAAAAGAACCTTTTGTGAAGGTGTAAAAGTTTTACGCAAAATATTTTTATTATGGAACACCTTCATTCGCTCTTTGCTAATCCTAAAATTCTCATAAGTTTTATTTCGAATTTCCTTAAGTTCATTTAGCTGTAATTTTCGTAAAGCGCTAGCTTTGTCAAAACCAAAATTAAACATTTTAATAGTCCAAAATGCTTTATGTTCCAACTCTGCAGGTAAATGACAAACTTTTTCATACACTAATCTATACGGAGACATGTCAATTGGAATTTGTAAGCGGTGTGATATGCTCATAACACATCAATTAGTCCTAATGACCAATCTTTATAATCAGGAATCACAGTTTTTTCTAAAATATAAGTAATCCCTCGATTGACTAGCTCTGCTTGACCACTTGTATGTGGATGATAGGGGGGTTGCAACTTTATGTGTTACACCATATTTTTTCATTGAAGTTTCAAAATGTTTATTGCAACAATG